GTGCCCCCTGCTTGTAAACATCGGAACCCTTAGGGACAGGGGTTGACACACACACACACACCTGACAGCAGATATTCGCAGTTATTTGTTTGGTTATTTTTTGCGGTTTGATTTTGAAGACATAGATGGCCTGACCTACGCCGTCGATTGGTTGATCAATAGAGGGGATACCCCCGGTCGTGTACAACCCATAGGCAAATGGTATCTGGCACTGACCCCTATATTATTCTCAAAGGTGATGGGCCACTGTAAGTGAAGCAGCCTTTGCTGGTCAAACTTATGTTTGGGGGAGATGTAGGAAGAATGGTGAGGTGAATGGAGGTGAATCATGGGTCTCGTAACCAACTGATGAAAAGAACGAGTTGAACCACTGGCTGCCGTCAAATTTGGAAGCGTTCTTAGGGGCTTTTCAAAGATCTAACAACGATGCTCCGGATGCTCAAAGATGTTTAAAGTATTACAGTGGTTTCAGAGTAGATGGCACAGACCCGAAGATGTCCTTCACATGGGGGTTCATATAAGCCACCGACATGGGGTCTGCGCCATCTACTCTCAATTCACTATAAAGGCAGTATTCTGGAGCTCGCAGCTCCCCCCGAGACCTTGTTGCACTCCGGCTTCGCTTTCTTCGCGCTTTTGGTGCTCAGGTGGACGGGTTCCGGACGAGCCTTCAGCGCTGGGGGCAACTTCACGGACACCAACAGCACGGTGCCTGAAGAGGCGTGACATGGCCTGAGTGACATGGCCGTGGCATGGAGTCCTCCCTGAAACCTGCGAGTTCCAGGGAGGGTAACGAGTCTGAATATGGTCCGAACAAAATGTGATCCTGGGGTCCAGATTTCATGGCAGGCCTCACTAGGATTTCTTGAATTGGGTAGTTGTCACTATTGTTCAGGTATCCCGTGCAAACAGCTTTTATAGCGACCTGAAGACGCTCGAGCTGCAGGTTCAAGCATGCCTGGTTCGACCCAACATCACCCACATTCAGCTCGAATGAACGCGCCCCAGCAGAATGGGCTGATCGCATGAAATCGCAAAGTGGCTGGCCAGTGCATAGAGAAGCACCTCGCAGAACAACTAATCACTAATCTTGCGGTGCCCCCAACCGCCTTTTTGTGGGGGGAACCAGGCGGAAAGCTGTTCTTGGGAGGAATCCACTTGTCATTGGTGGTACGAGAAGGCTCCGGTGGATTCTTTGTTTGGGGACAATGGACCACACGCTGATGGACTGACTGCGCGCGCGATGCGCACGCAATCGCGCGCCTTTGGAGGACTTTGATGGATACATCCAGGCGGGCAAGGGGTGTAGAGTGGAGGACCGCGCCGCACGCGTCGCTCTGTGGGGTTTGAAAAAGATCGTGGGTCCAGGTTTCTGTGAGGCAGCGGTGATTTCATGGTCAGGTTGGGAAAAGATCAGTGAGGCCTCGTGAAAAGACAGGTTGGTCTGAACATGAGGGAAATCCAACTCTCCTTTTCTGAGCGAACCGTATACTTCCTAGTATAGTAACTATAGTAATCTATAGTATAGTATTCGGTGTTCTATTCGCCGTGTTGTTCGGGGCTGGCGGTTCAGACCGCACACCACTGGCCGCGTGTCTACCTCGCGGTCGTTCGGTGTCGACCGTGCGAGGCGGGGCTGGCCGTGTCGCCTCCAGATATTTCTCTCGCCGGTCCCACGCGCGCAGCTTGGCAGCCAACCGGAAGTCTGCAACCGTGACTAGGCATCGCAGCCTATCAGTTCTTAGTACACAGAACAGTAATCACCTATTCAAAAACACGCCTCCCCCCCTAATAAGGAAACCTCGGTCGCATTTTTGTTAATAGGGGGTCCCAGAAATCGGGGTGGTCCAAAATAGGGTCACCTGGGAAGGGCTTCAAAGCCAAAAAGTCACCCGCAGGATTTTTTTAATATAAACTCCTTTATTAAACTCATATCAAAAATTCAATAAACCTCCAGATCGAAGGGTCTTCCTTTTCCCCCCACACAATCCTCCATTAGAATAGTGCTTCTTCATTAGACTAACAACTAAAGCTTTCGAAAGGTGATGTCGCTGTGCCATGCGGTTTTGCGTGACCTCGGTGGAAAGTGCGTTTGCGTGAGTCTGTGCCATTGGGGGAAGGAAAGCCTGCTGGTGTAAACACGGTGTGTCATGGTGGATAGACAAGCTGGACAGAGGTGGGCAGTTACGGTTGTTTTTGGAACCTAATTTCAAAAACTCCTCCAAAATCGGCCATGTTGGTAGTTTAGTAGCGGCTTGAAAGGGCGGTAATTTCACAACGAATATAAGCTGTATTTATAAGGGGCTCCGACATGACTTTTGTACTTGGGATTAGGCCAAGAGAAACCTGGACATGGAAGGTCCTCCGGCTGTCACCCATGATCAGATCTGGTTGTATATCATGGCACCTGGGTCAAACATTCCAAGCAAAGATGTGAAAGACTGCTGACGGCACCACCAACAGTCACCTGTGTGAGACTGTCACCTGGCACATGAAGACTGCGTCTTCAGATGTGAAAGCTTTGGAGAGTCATCTCCTTCCATCGACTAGGTCACCAGCTCCTGTGACTGCCAGTCCATCGGGCCCAACACCTCGGTCTTGGTCCCGCGACCAGGAGATGATCAAGTTTCCGAAGATCTCCATATCGGCCATCAACGGCGTCACCATCGGTGGGGGCGTCAACTTGGGGCTCCTGTGGCAGGACTTGGTGCCATGGATGCAGAGTCCGGTGGGACAGGACTTGGCTTCGCAATCTCCAAAAACCACGTCTTTTGATGAGTAAACATGGGTAAATTGTCTTAGTAGGGGAGGCCATGCTGTCCATTTCGATCTCCGTCAGTCGGATGTAGCAGAGAGGCTCTGGTGTCAAAGAGGGATGCCAGAGCTGACTTCACTGCGGGTGTGCTGCACTCACCGCCAGTTGGCGTCGAGGACCGCGTGGGGCCGAACGAGGCCCCACGAAGAATCAGATCCCTGTGGGCCAGACCCAGTCTTCCCGTTGTTTACCTCTATTCCAGTTGTTGATCCACGTCTCCTCAGTCCAAACCCTGTGATGCACAAAACACCGCCCCCGTCGAAGAACCCTGTCGTTTTTGGCCACACGTCAAGTGTAGGCGCTTCATTCACTTGTGCCTGTCTTCACAAAGTTTTTGGCTTTTTGGTCCCTGAATTTTCAGGCCTCACTAGGCGGAACATTCAAGCCAAGGCCTCAAAGGCCAAGGCAACCAACGTTGGTGTAGGTGCCGAGTCCAAGCAAGGGTCGACCTCTTTGCCAAATTCTAAGGTCTTTGCTGGGGAGGACCGCCTGCAGCTTCGCTCACATGAGCGATGTGAGCGAAGCTGTTTTTTGGGGGGATCGGAAGAGGTTTGGAAGAGGGATGATTTGATGCGTGGTAGATCTGGAGGGTACAGGAAGCAGATTGTAGGATATTGTAGGAAGCAGATGCCATGCCCTTTTAGTTGCCGTTCCAGTCACATGTTCATGTTGATCGGTGCCCAAGCGCCTTACAACGCCGCTAAATGGGTGGACAAATTGATTGCAAGTTTACAGTCATCGATCGTCACTTTCACGAAACGGTGATTGACTTATATAGGATGACTGGAAGCAGAATGGTGCCAACCTGCATGGGCTGGCATCATCGGCCAACGTTCTCTTTTGTAAGCGGTAGCACTGCCGCAGGTTGGATGCAACTGGTGTGTCAGGCGTCACCTGTGACTCATGTTTTTCATCGCTGAATCACTCCACGTTTGGGCTGAGGATTCCCCAGACATCTTAACTCGGACATATATATTTATATATATCTTCAACTTGGGAAACCCTACCTACTCTTCCTCAGAGTGAGGCCATTCACTCAATGTCCTCCCTGCTCAGATTGCTTCACTGGCAGGACGTGACCTTCCGGTATCCCTTCGGGGAGCTCGGACTGACGCCGGAGTCGCTTGGACCGTGGACGTGGTGAGGATGGAGATGGAAGATGTTTCCCCAAAACAACAAGGTGGTCCGAGACTGGACAAAGGCACAAATCAATAAAATCTGCGGAAAGAGTGCCTGAATTCGCTGCATTCACATCCAAAAGCAGTGGCTGAGTTTCCTGGAAAAACTCCACTGACCATAGAGAAAAACATTGGTTTGTTTTAGCCCCCCGTGTCTTTCCTGCTTCCTTGGCATCGGAGACTTGGATCGCACCTTCGACGGTGTGAACGCAACGGTGTGCGTTTTTTGACCGGGTACAGGTTGGGCTCATCAGTGCTGCTGCTGCTTGGCAGAAGCCGAAGGTTAGTGGACGTGCCTGGGCTTGTTTTGCCAAATATTAGGCAAAACGTCTCTAATGTAGAGTGTGGCTTGTAGCTGCTATAGTGACCTTGCAATGGCATTCACCACCTTTCATTCCGTCAGCAACAACATGCAAGTTGCAGGTCAGAAGTTTGCTGGGAGCAGATCAGTGCTTGTAGAAACAAATCAAACTTGGCAGCAGAGCCTGTTCCCCTTTTTGATGCCCCTCATACAAACCCATACCAGCCGTCCCCAATGAAATATTGGAGTCATGTCCTATAGGGATGGCTTTTTTGGGCGGAACTCCTGCCCTGGCTAAGTAGAGTCCATCCTTTTCACGACCATCACGGCACTTGAACGTCATGAGGCCGAAAGAGCTCTACAATGACTATCCACACTGGGCTCCAACTACCTCCGTTTCGAAGGTTGTAGTGGTGGGTGCCAGGGGGGTCTAACCACCGAACCTGAGGATATGGGCCAGGAGCCCTAGGGATCCGCAGCTGGGCCAGTCATCTGACCCCCGCCTGCATGGCGCGTGGAGGACGGGTGCGTGCAGAGGCTGAAGAAGGAAGCACCCGTCCTCCACGGTCTGTAGTAGGGTCTGATGCTCTGAGACACACACATCCATGTCTATCCAGATGGAGACATTTCGTGGCCCAGGAGACCAAAGCACCACACATATAGGATGCAGATGGATCGAGGATTTCCTCCAAAATGTCGTCTCCCTAATTCTATCTCAACGTGTATTAGGACCTGGGGTGACCTGAGATGTTTTTTTGTGTTTAAACGTTGTTTTTTTAGTTGTTTGGAAGGTGTGAGGGCCGTGGTCCAAGCACATCTCAGGCCTCGCATGGTGGGATTGGTCAGAGCCAAGCAACTCATGCAGTGATCCGGCTTCAGGGGGAGGGCACTGGCGTTATGACCGTTATGGGGCCTATTCACTTACACTCTGACCCACTAACATGGAAGTGGAAAATCGGCCCCGGAAAGACCATGTTGCTCTATATAATGATTTAAAACTCTTCACGGTGAAGTCGAGTATAGAATATTCCACTCAGCCTGCGAAGTGTGTGGGGATGAAGATTCCATCAAGTGATCTTGAGTGAGTGGGCTGCTGATGGTGATACCATGTGATACTGATATACCCAATTCTTCAGTCAAACCTATAATATAGTGCGTATGCTGCTCGCAACAACTGGCAACAGTTTTATTTAGCGGAGGGTAGCAGGGGAAATGGAGCCAGAGCATGTTTCAGTTGCGCTGCAGGAAGCTGGCATGGCTGTTCCCCGCATTCCATGACCGAGTTAGATAGCTGTGACCAACGGCGCGGCTACAAGACTGGTGAACTGAGCAACAACCCGCTTGGGGTGAGGGTCAGCATTAAGGCAGGACTACTGGACTACTTAGGCTTTCATTCACCGGTGCTCACTGAAGAGTGTTGTTTTCATTGCTCACCAGTCCAAACCCATGTCCGACAGGGGGAACGCCGGCTTTCTCCTGCTTGCTTGTCAAGCAAAGGAGGTTGGCACGAGTGGACCCACTTGACGCTGCAGAGTTCAGCGTTGCCGTTAGTCCACTCGAGACACCAAGAAGGCCGCAATGTTCGGTCCCCCTCAGTTCTCCTGCAACTGCAGTACGCAGAAGGATTCACCCATCCAAGAACCAAGAAAGGAACAGATAGGGACATTGATAAACATGCTATATAGTTGCAAGAACGCTACTAGGGGCTCCTGGCCGTAGTGCTAGGAGCAAGTAGCTACTAGGAACAAGAAGCTACTAGGAGCAAAGGGCATCCCTACTAGGAGCAAGAACGCTACTAGGGGCTCTGGCCGTACTACTGGGAGCAAGTAGTAGCTGTGCTCCACTCCATTCCAGCTTTCTTCCACTCCTGACCGCTTCTCGACGGATGGCGTCCAATGGCGTTGCACCACGCGAGGTATGGAAGCGAGTTCACGGCGAAGCAAGCGCTGGAGCGGCTTGGAGCGAACATGTCGTGTCGTTTGCCAAAGGGGACCACAGAGCCTGTAGAAGTGGATAGTAGTGGCCCAATCATAGATGCCTTCGAAGATGTGGTGTGTTTTCATTACTTTCCTATGTTTTTTCCAGCTGACCATGCGATCATCCAGAGTTCTAGTCATCAAATATGATTCAACATTGTAAAATTATCCGTTTTGGCTGGCAAAAGTATGTTTCCTCGCTTTTGTTTTGCTCAAGCAAGAACAGACGGGTCCTCTTGACCAACAGTCAGTGTTCGTTTGACTCCAACGAACACAAACACGAGGAAAGCATCTTCGCCATCATTTTCCACTTCCATGGCAAGGTGAGTAGCATGCAGAGTGTATACCTAGACCTTCAAACGGCCGGAACTTTTGCCGAAGGCAATTTTTTAAATCATGTTTCAGTGAAAAGACACCGCAATCCCAAAAATTGTAAAACATTGTTTTCGTTTCAAGTTACAGTAAGGGTTGCACACATACGTATGTGCTGAACATTTATGGACGGGAAAAGACGCCGCTTGGAAGGCTTGGACGCACAAAAACGTTTCTTTTGGTATCTAATCTCACCGCTGTTTCCACCTTGCCACAACAAAAAGGTAATCCAACCGAAAAGGCAATCCTTGGGAAAAGACGCCGCAACCTCATTGTTTTCTGAAAAGAACGTATCGAATATCCAGCTATATATGTGTGTTTCATCACAGAAGGTAGCCTCTGGCACTCCTGCTGACTTTGCATTTAGCAAACGCGTATTGGCACGGGACCTTCCGACGATCTTTGGGATTGTAATTGGCGGTTCTTCACTATGTGCGGGCCCTCCATGGGTTCATACATGGAACTTCCTCAGTGTGCCTTTTTTTGATTTGCGGCATGAAAAACATCTTTTGGAGTCACAGCCTTATTATATTTGATTCGTTTCTCTAGACTCTAGTTTTCCGATGCATTCTGATCTTTTCTGATATGCCGCGGGCTTACATTGGTGAGCCACTGGCGTTTTCCCGAAACTGTGTTTTTTTTCCGCGGATGGTTATTTCGGTTGCGGATGTTTATGTGTTTCACAGACCTAAATCAAGGTATGTTACGAGGTTGCAGGTATCTTTACATACATGGTCATGGCATGGTTCTATACTTTGTATTGTGCGCAGCCGTTCCGGGTTTGCCCTCCAGTCCACGAGCAACTGAGGTGGGGCTTGTGTACAGAGGTGGTCCCTACCAATGAGGCGGGAGCTGTTGCGTGGAGCTTTCAAGATTGTCGCCGGATTTTGTCAAAAGCGTTGCACTCCCTGGAATAGGAGGTGGAACACCACCTGTTTGTAGAGGAAAACAGTCATCCAAGGGGCCATGCCATCCACTTCAATGATATTGTTTCAGGGCCTCAGGGAGTATAAATTGACCAGAAGAACCCGACTTGATCCTGCAGAAAGACTTTGATTGAGGATCCAGGCTTTTCAGGTGGATTTGTGCGGAACGATCATCCGGAACGATGCTTTGTCAGGAGAACTTGACATATATCCTATCCATATCCTATCCTAATATTCTTACACAGGCTCCGGCCAGTGGAGGAGGAAGGCACGAGGAAATCTCTTTGGGTTTTGAAATGGCTAGGCCTTGGCTATGGGTGCGACAATCGAGCTGGCCGACATCAAACTGTTTGATGTCAAGCAAGCATGCGGTCAAACAAGTTCACAAAACCACACCCAACCCAAGACATGTTCCTTCTGTTCATTCAGCCATTCATGAATCTTCTGTTTCTTCAGTCTCCTCCAACACAACCGTCCAACCGGTCTTTCCAGTCGCGACCACGCCTCCGGTTCTCAGGTCTTGCCCAAGGCGCTCGAGGCTGCACGAAAGCTGGTGAAGATGCCGCAGCCGCGGGGGCTGAGCCAAGCGGAAAGGGGGAAAGCGGAGGGCGAAAGCTGAGGGATTTGGAAGGACTTGTCAGAAGCGAAGAGGTCCCAGAACGCGCATGTAATGAACATGTCGCATGAAAACGGTCACATGAAAATGTCACAGTTGAAGTGTCCCACACCTTTGTCGGATCAAACATTGTGTTGCTGTTAATGAACGACACACAACAGAAAGCGGAGTACATAGGAATGGTACATTGAGCATGAGTTTGAGTTGATTCCAACATCCGTCCTCCACTGGGAAAATTGCAGCCCGAGATGCCGAAATGCGTAAAGGACTGATGTTCTGATGATGGGAACCAGGTCAGCCCCTAATCGTGAAAAACACATCCAAGATTTACTTTGCTCAGGGTGTGTGAACGCTCTAGCAAAAGAAGCGTTTCTTTTAGCTCTTTCTCCCTGACAAAGAGCTTCTTCTGTAGCTATGGTGTTTCACGGATTCGAGTTCTTCCTAGATGGAAGTTTGCCTATAAGCCAAATTTGGGCATCGCTACGAACGGAGCAAGAAGCTATTATATATAGTAGCTCCTGGCATTACTAGTAGGAGCAATGTTCGCTACTAGTAACCAAGGGCATCGCTACGAACGGAGCGATCGGACGCTATGTTGGGCCGAATGAATGTGTTTCCACGACCCGAGCACAAAGACCTAAACGGAACTCCCAGACACGACTAATGGGACTGGCATATTTGCCTACATTGACGGTGGTTTCAGGGGTCCATGTATGTATATTGTATATAACTAACTATTTCAAAAACCTGGATGCTCTGGTGCTTTGGAAGTTGATGGGGGAACATGTCGGCCCTCCTTCCCAGGTTTGCGCTTCGAGAATCCAAGCGGATCATCATGAAGGACACGGCCGAAGACAGGTTTGGCATGGAACGGCACGGCCGAAAATCCCCCGAAACAGCGGTGTTTCTTGGATTGCTCAGATGCGACACTGGACTCCGGTGGCCGGTGGCGTGCTTGACATCGTCCTCCATGTCACTTCCGCTTCGCTTGGTGCTCTACTTCGCTTGGTCTGAACAACAAATGACAATGTCAGGATGTGGTGGCGGCCATTGACGGCATCACTGAGGAGGAGATGATGAGTGCGTGGCGTATTGAAATAGAAACAGACAAAGAGGACACAAGAAACTTAGATACAAACAACTTTCAGAACATGTCACAGCCATATTTCGTTGGTGGATATAAATATATAATGTTAAATCTGAAATAGTGAGCCACATCCTGCCTCCCTAGCAAGCAGTTGAGAGAGTGTGAGAGTAAGGTCCCCTCCAAAGACATGCCCGTGTGCCCGGGTGCTCGGGCAAGAAGATGGAGACATCATCAACTTGCCATGGGCTTGTTGTTGTTGCAGCCTCCAACTTCAAACACAGGAAGCTTTTTATAATATAGCTTCAGACAGGTGTTTGCGCCTTTGGCCCCTGCAATCATCGCAACCATGTTCATGAGCAATAGCGTCATCAAGAGCAGCGTCACTGTCAACAACGTCACAATTAACATCAACGCCATCGCCAAGTTCACATGTATTGTATCACATCATGAGCAACATCATCATCATCATCATCATCATCATCATCATCATCAGCAGCAGCAGCAGCAGCAGCAGTTTCAGTTTAACAATGAGGATTGACGTAATAATCGCCAAGATCACGTGTATCGTATTACATCACGAGCATCATAATAGTCAGCAGCAGCAAAATTACAAGAACATGTAAACACGTCAACATCGCCAAGATCATGTGTATCACATCATAGCCGTCGTCAGCGCTGCCAACATCATCATGGACGTGACATCGATATCAACATCATTGCAATTATCCAGGCGAACCTTGTTCATCGTCACCATCGTCGTCGGCGTCATCATCATCATCATCATCAGCAACATCACAATGAACATTAACGATCACGTGTATTGTATAATCAGAGCACAACATAAGTGTCATCGTCCTCTTCATCATCACCAGCAGCAAGATTACAGTAAGCAGCATTAACGGCATCATCGCCAAGACCATGAGTATCATCACTGTCGTCAGCACTTACATAATCGTCATCGCCATCCTCTTCCTCCTCCTCCTCCTCATCATCATCATCATCATCATCATCACAGTGGTTGTGATAGTGGTAGTAGTAGCAGTAGTAGTAGTAGTAGTAGCAGTAGTAGTGCTTGTTGTTGTTGTGGTGGTGGTGGTGGTCGTAGAACTAGTATTAGTAACAATAGAAAACAACATCTATTTTTCCAGGGCTCCAATTTTGCTCCTGCGCATTTTATTGACCTCCTAAACAATTCGTATAATCTACTTCCCTTGGGCTTGTGCACTCCCCCGGGAAAAATCATTCGGGGCAATGATTTCGGTGAGTGTTCACAAAGCGTTATTGAGAACGGGTTGCAGGTCAAACAATAGCTGAGCAATAGAAAATGGAATCAAACAACAAGCCCGAGTTTGAAAAAAGTCCCTGGGCCCTGGGCGAAAAACAGAAAAACACATACACTCTTTTCCAACCACCCTAAGCAATTCAGGGCGTGGGAATGACTTTGGAATCAGTTTTTATTGTTCCCTACAACTTGACTTTGGAGTTGAACATTACTTGTGATGATTTAAGGGTGGTTTTTGGAAAAGGCATAGATTACACAGTCAGGGCTCAGGGGGATCTAAAATCCATTGGTGGTGTTGGGAGTATGTGTCTTTTGGGTATTGGATCTCATCCTTTCTCTGCTTCGACGCCCTCAGCGGAGGAGCTGACGACCTTGAGAAAGGTCATAGCGCCTTGGCCGCCGTCGGCCGCTAAAGAGAGGTAAGCGGGACCGCGGCAGGGACCGCGGCGGGGCACTGGGCACAGTTGGACAGGTTTTGATACCGCAAAGGATGTTTTTGGAGTGCCTCTGACAGATCGTCACAGAATGGGCGGAGGGCCGCCAGGGGCGCTGCCATGCACAGGCAGGTAACAGTGAACTTGCCACTGTGATCCTTTGCGGGTTTGGTGTTCGCAGCTGATATTCCGATATTCCCTGCAGAAATGTCAATCAGCCACGACTGAGGGGAGCCCTGAGACGCAGAAGGCCATGATGGCCCTGATGATGAAGACCAGCAGCACGGATGCAGAGCCGATTGGTTTGGTCCACACGAGTCAGAAGTTAATATGTGTGCCATAGTCAAAACGGCTTCCTGGCTGCCCTCTAGGCACCTTGCATGACCTTAGTAAGGCTTGGTAAAAGCTTTGGTCGGATGACCATTTGCCGTTCTTGTTATTTGTGTCACCCCACACTTCACCCTGGTCTCTCACCGGGGTGAGACTCCGGTCGTTTCGGCGGTTTCAGACCATGCCGTCGGCGGTGCACCTCAGAGGTGGGGCATGGCAGGAATTTACCACCTGTCACAGATGTATGAATCGATCCACCAAGGATTTAGCCGGCGCACAAGCCAAAAAACAACATGATGCAACGAAAAGGTACTAACCAATGGATTCCTTCAGGCTTTGTTTTGGCATCCACTTTGCATGGTCTAAGCTTTGCAGGGAACAAGGTCCGTGTATTCTTAATCGTTGAGTCTTAACTGGCAGGTTCCCACGCAGCAGGGCGCTTGACTAAGACCCCCCATGAGAGCTGGACCGAATTGTGGTCCTGGGCCTCTGAAAGACTCGTAAACGGCAGGTACAGGGGTTTCTATAGATTGGGGGGACTTGTCTAAGGGTTTTTGCACACCAGAAAGGAATCGTTGTAATTATGAGATATTATATACTGTAATAGTATGTACCCAGAACCTCTTCTTGGGCAGAAATGTCTGCCTATGGGCAAAGGCGCCTCCTCCGTGCTTTTTGGCGTTCAGAACGTCGTTCGGGCGGCTCCGCTAGGTCGGTGTTCGAAGGTCGTTTTGGTGGCGGCAATGCTAGACAAGGATCTACCCGCCGGCTCCATGAACCATAGAGATACAGGGCACTTATTTATCAGGAATGATTTTACCTGATGTTTCACTTCTGCATGCGTTTTGTCTTTCTATGCTTTGTTTCATTGCTTTAGTATGCTGTTGCGTAGGCATTCTTCCCGTCACTTAGGCATTCGGCGTTCTTACCTGTTACTTAGGCATTATTGCCCGTTACTTAGGCGTTCTTACCCATTTCCCCCTCACAACAACAATCAGTAGTTGGGTGGACAAAGACATGGTAGCCTTTTTGGGGGAGCAAGTGACATGAGTTTCAATCACTTGCGTTTTTAAAACTTTAGACCGGATAGACCGAGCCGGGCACCAGCGCCAGGTTGCTTTCTCAAAGGAATTTTCGTTAATATTAGGTTTTGCCTCCTGCATGTAAGAATGCATGTGATTGTGCCTCGTCTCGAGGCTGCAGCTTAGGCGTTCTTTGTGAAAACGGGCAGCATGTTCTGCCTACGTGAAGTTGGGCGGAAATGATGGCCTAATTGAGGTTCTAGTTCTAGGTATATATACCAGGACCCTCCAAGAGGTGTCTGCAAATAGCATCTTGGAGGTTAAGAAGTGTCCTTAAACCACCTGTTGGAAGGTCCTGGTATATATATATATATACATATGTATTTAGAAAGAGTATTTGGGGCTCGGGCTTTGGTACATAGACTCCTGGGCTACGCTTGGGACTCCACGGAGACTGCTTCCAGACCTCGCCTGGACCGGACCCCGACGGACCCGAGACCTGAGCAACGCTCCGGCTACGCCAGGTAAGTCGAAACTGTAGCAGGTGATTTTGGAGATTGGAGAGCCAGCTCGAGACGACTCGCGATGGTGTGGGATAGGGATGAGGGATGGTGTGGGTGAACTCACCGCAAAGTTTTTGAAGCATCAGGCAGCACAAGATGTTTAAAAGGCTCATGGGTGTTACACCCAGGTCAGCATTACTGTTTGGATTTTTCTTTCAAGTCAAGTGTCCTTTTTACCAGAAATGCTATGACAAGTAAAGCCTGTCTCCCATGGTAGAGGATGTCATCACAGGCTCTCCGTGTTAATGTCTTGGCCAGCACCTCGCATAGGTCGAGGGACGCAAGGTTGGCTTGTCTTTCTAGGATTCGTTGCGGCGCTTGGCCGAGACAAAAGCACGTTCGTTGGCCGAAGCACGAGTTCAGGGTACCACAATAAGCCCCAACAAGAGCAGGCCAATGCTCTCTTGTGGGCAAAGATTCACGGATTTGGCGCGGGTGCAAACTTAGACATATGGAGTTCTGCTGAACCTACCCCGGTGTTGCCTTATGATTTTTGGGCGCTTCAGGGTTTTGTCCCAGATCCATTTTGTTGAGAGTGCGAGTTTCTTCAAAGTAACCCGACAGTAACCCCTTCAGTTTTCATTTGTGTCCCTAAGTGACTTTCAGAGTATCAAGTGACGTGGGGGGGAACAGTTTGCATCGCAATCCCCTAGTTTTGGAGCAAGCAGATCAGCAGAACATATGACCATTCATTTGAACAATATATAGTTGTTTCTATCTTCTTCTCTCAATGTATCTTCGACTGTATTATATATACACATGCAATATATATATAAATATGTATCGTCAACCATTTATGTTTCTCAAAGATTGGCCGTTCGCAACGCCGTCGCCAGACCGGGTGCTTCATCTGGTGTGTCTCAGCGTCACGGCCCTTCCGTCCGAGCGAGGCTGGAAACAGAGTGAAAGCGTTCTGGGTCGCTTTGGCAAGGCTGAGGCGTGGGTGGCGGTGGGCGGCCTTCTCTCGTTTCCAGACCGGTCAGAGAGAGGTTTCAAGGGTTCAGTATCCCGGTGGGAAGGGTTCAGTATCCGAAGACGCTTGGACTGGCCGATGTGAGCCAGTTGGAAAGATTGGTCGAAGAAAAGATCTCTTCAAGGGAGCAAATCGCAACAGCACAGCAAGGCCTTGGGCGCAAGGATTTGAGGGTTGGCGCAAGGTCCAATCCACTGAGTCTTCAGGTCACTTACTCCACCCTTGGCACGAGTTTGAGTTCCCAATGTATATATTTGGCCTCAAATCTCCCGTATCATCCTGTTTCAATATAACAACTCTCCAGATAGCCTTCAACATGTTTCCCCACCGAGGGAGGATGGATGATTTGGAAGATGCCTTAAGGCTTTCTGATTGGGACATGTGGGCTCAGTTACTGTACTTAAAGATATGCTGGGAGTAAGGCACACTTGAGGAGCATTTTTGCCATTGCAGGAAATAGACTTCAGCCAATCAAAGCAGTCCCTAGAAGTTGAAGGCTAGGATCGAAAGTGGGTCCTCACGGTTCCTTGTTCTTTGAGTGTCTTCCAACCACAACCAGAAAGAATCCCTGGGCGATCTTCAAGATCTCAATTCAGGAACCTTTTAGACATGTCAATTGACCCTTCTGAAACTATCACCGTTTATACGCATTCGATTCAATTGGAGCGCTCTCGCGACGTGTTCCCGGCCAGGCCGAGCGCCGCAAGTGGCAGGAGAAGTGGACGCAGCAATGTGCGGAGCTCGAGGCGCGGTCGGTCGGGCGGACGATCGACGTGGTCGGTCGGGCGGACGAGGTCGGACGGGGTCGGACGCTGTCCGACCCGGGGGGGTTGCCAGGAACCGTATTGCATGTATATATACCAGGAGTCCCAAAAGGGGTGGTGTTCCCGAAGTGAGTGGATGTGCACCCCTATCCCTGCAATACTGTAGGTATCCCTTTGGGACTGCTGGCCCGATTTGTTTTTTCAAACCTTTGGTCTGATATATTTGTGGTTGGCTACTCATTGAAGGCGATCCGCAAAGCACTGGCCGAGCAGGAGCTGAAAAAGCAAAGTGCACAGGGGGCCCAGAACCTTCAGGACCGTGGCAGGGGTGGGTCTCAGTGGATGGTGAATCGATGAGCATGATGGAGCCTATAGCATGAAGAGGTCAGCGAAAAATGTCTTGTTTTGCATGTTGTTTGGCACAAGAGTCGTCCTCCTTTCAGTTCAGTATGTTTCCGTGACTTATCATTCCTCCTTTCACTTCATGTGATTTATTATTCCTCTCAGTTCAGTATATCACACCTCGACGCACCCTTTGGACCGTGTCCAGGATGCGCGGGCGGCCACCCTCGAAAGGACACCATTGGATGCGTTGGGGAACACACGTCGCATGCATTGGACGTGGTAGTTCGCCAATGACTGCTGTTGGGTGTGTAATTATTGAATTAGGGAAACCTCCCAAAGGCTTATTTGAAGAAGGGAAATAGACCAAAATTCGTCATGATGTACCATAGGACCGGTGGGCTCGTCTTACGCTATGCTGAGGACTATCACTGCATGTCGTTGACTGCATGAAACTGCAACAGCATGGAAAGGCCAAAAACCCATTCCTTGAGGGTCTCCCAATTATTACAATACACACCCAGGACTCACTCCGCGTTTTGGACGTTTGGGTGCAGGATTTCTTCCACTACGCGAGCGATTCGACTCGAAAGAGGAAGAGGAGAAAAACATAGAAAAACCCAGGCTTCGACCTTCCAACCCAGGCTTCGACCTTCCAACACTCTTGGAATGGGGTCCCAACCCATTCCTGGATGTTGACCCCAACAGACAGGACTTGGAGACTGGGCGATGCCTTCGGAGGCGGACAGGGGGAGGTCCACGGACAGGGGGAGGTCCACGGAACTGCTCAGTTTGTGGAGCCTTGGTGGATGTTTTGTCAGGAGCGCGATCGATCAGAGCGCTACTTACTTGTGTGAGTCAAAATCTGAGGAGTAAACTTTCGACTTGAAACCTAGTGGTTCCCATTGGTTTGCAACATCGGTCAGGGCTCGATGTGAGCAGTTGACTGGAGGGTGTTGCGTGCAAATCCAGGCAAGCTGGTTCCTGTTGTGCCAAAATGCCTCGCCGGCGCAGGCGCTGCAGCAATCGCATTTGCCTGGCCATGGTCTTAGCAGAATTGCTTCGGTTGAAGTGATTGCAAATGGTGTGCCTGAAAATCAGGATGCTCCAAAATATCACTGGTGTCGGTCTAATGTCTTATAATTGTCTTTTCCAACCTGGGCAGGGTAGGTGCGACTGGGGTGGGAGTCCTGAATTGAGACACGCTATCCGGTGGATGGATACCGGTGGGGATCCCGTTTCAGACCCCCCGGAAAACGTTCGAGTCGCAACACTGCTGTTTCTTGGCTGTTTCCACCAATCCTCTCCGGTGCACCACGAGACCTCCGAACCTCCGGCCATGTGTGGTGGAGTGAAAAAGGGCTTCGCCCTCGATTATTAGATTCTTGATTCATTCCCAAGGTGTTTCTGGATTCTGTATCACTCATCATGAAATACAGAAATATGAAAGCCCATCCTGAGATCAAAGCAAACACCACGATGCCTTTCGGATAGCACCGACCTGGGGCTGGGGGCCTCCATTTTAAGCCTTTTTCCACCTCCGTCGGATGGTGTCAAGCAAATACCTCCCATCCAGCGCGAGAACAGGACAATTGACTCAATGGTTTTCTTCATAGAAAGGCGCACTTGGCTGACCGCTACTGTTCCTCCTTCACCGACGTCAGGTTCCGGGTGGCCGCCTTTTCCGCGCCCGAGCGCAAGAAGCGTCTGCAGCACTTGCAGAAGGCGCCTGCAGCACTCCCTTCCTCGGACGGTGCGTTTCCGGGTGACTTGGAGGAGGCGGGTTCAGCTGGCGCCAGGCTGGCGCCAGGTTGAGCGGGTTCTTGGGTGTCAGGATCCGGTAGCAAGAAGGGAAGTGTCCGAGACCAAGCTTTGAATGATCTCAATGAGGGAGAGGTGAAATCATCACCCTGGCAGTTTGTTTAGACTGATTGTGAAGCCTCGAAAAGATCCTTAAACGATATGTTTTTAAACATTTCTGTTGAAGGTATGCTTGGGTTGTTAGACCACCAAACCATTGCTTAGGGGTTTTAAACTTTAAACTTTAAACATCCAACTTCACCGACTTCACCCGTCGAGTTGTCAGTTGTCAATACCGGCAAACGAGAAAAACAACTGTTCATCAACTGCACATCTCAGGAGACGTCAATTGGCAACAGAACTGAGACCGCCAGGTGGCTGCTCAAAGCTCCCTGGAACGCCTCCGTCGCCGCATGGCCAACGCGCGGGAGGACGTTCCGCCTGGCTGACGCTCGCAGGCGCCCGGCAACCCCAAAACGCGAACAGACGGACTCGCCGACGGTGCGGTTCTGACGGACTCGCCGACGGTCGTCATGAAGAAACCCCGAGCCCCATGCAGCGCCTTTTGGCCAAGGTTGGCAGCCAGAAGGGCAGGGAACGAGCCCTGCACCCGACAAGTTACGTGAAGAAGCTTGTTCACCCATGTTAACCCACAAACAGATGTTCGCGATTGCACCTCATCGTGATGGCGAGGATAAGAATTCTTGGAGTGAATAATGTGAATAGAATGTGAACTAATCGAGAAATTAACTCCAACTCCATCATATTTGGTCGCGCGATGTCCAACAAAAATTGTTTCTTCTGGTGCAGGATGGTGCAGGCAGGGGAATCGCATCAGCAAGAAATGCTCGAACGTCAAGAAATATAAAGGTCTGAAAGTAGCAGTGACAGTTCCTTGCTACTGAGAAACACTTCGTTGGGTTTTGGGAGGGGCTGAACACAGCGTATTTCCAGGGTGGCAACTTCAAGAGGCACATTTGCTCAAAGACTCCGCAGCAATGTTGGAGTACTTGGTCACTTGAACTTTTGCAGTGATCTACACTCTGACGAACACATCACATGGAAGTGTATGGCATGGCCTCTTGGAAGACCACTTTCCTGTATGAACGGGGGGGTGTGCACTTCCATAGAACGTTTTCGTGTCGAAGCTGTGCGACTGGACGCCAGGTTCAGCTCCTTTGAAAAGGGAATTGCATGCGACTTGTGCAGTTCTGGTTGCTTCCAAGGAGGACAAAGTTCAAGACCAAAAACAAGACAATCAGCAACGAGAAATGGTGGGAAACCTGAACACTGCATATTGCTGGGTGTTTATAAGCCAGCCAGCTCTTATTTCCACTGCGCATTGTTTTTTTGGGGCTGCACCAGGGATTTCAATTGAATCAAGACCGATCCAAATGAAGTTGCAACAGGTCTGCTGTAAAGCGACTCTGCTAGTGACCCTGCGTTCAATCAATCAAGATGAATCCATCGCCCGGATCTACATCACGTAGATCCCAAACAGCCTTAAAACAGCCCCCCGGATTTGGTGCATTTTTCGTTGTGCCGACCTTGTTTCTTTTCTGGAAGTCTTTTTGACCTGCACAAGACCTGAATTCACATGATGGCATGATCCCGAGGGGGTTTGGAGGGGTCCTCTCATCAGTTCCTGCTTTGCATGAAGTCTGCCAGTCGACCCTTCCCATCCGTCCCTAAGTTATTAATAAACAAATGTGCAACCCACAAAGTTGATTCAGTTGATTCTAGAAGGCTGTCATTTATTTGTCTTCTTTTCAGGGTGTTCGGTTGGTTTTTGTTCTCTTTTTGCATGCCAGGCTGAGACCATGTAGTTTTCCACTGTGATATGCTGAAACTCATCAAACCTACATGTATCATCTTGTATACCTCAAAAGGGTGTCCCCAAATTATTGGTGAACCCAAAAGCATGAGTTTTTCGATTGACCCACTGAGTGGATCGTGGCATCGAAAGCACGGGTAATCGCGTGGACAGTGTTGGTGCTTTTTTCGCCAAGGAGTTCGCGCAGAAAGTGTGTTCTGCGGCGTTTGTGACCACGGTCCCTATAGATAGATCTCTCTCTCTATATATTTTATTTTTTCCTACACACTAGTCAACCAGTTCACCAGGATTTGGGTTCAGAGCCTGTTGTTTGTTTCAATAAAACACGCCTCAAGAAGGCAAACTGGAGATGCATCCATAGTGGCAAAAAGTGCCTAGGCAGGGGTAGACGGTAGAATGACCGCATTAAGCAACATGCCACTTTCTTCAGTGCGCTTTGTGGGAATCAATCTGGACTGTTTGGGATGTGGGTTTGTCCCAACATTGGGTCCTTGGGTTAGCCTTTATGGGCCTCTCACGGCTTGCGAGAACGCAGGGTTCCCTTGGTCTATTGAGTCCATTGGAATAGTATGGAATAGTGCGGTCAGCCATGCCCGAACAATCAGCCAAGCCCGATGGAACAGAGTCGCATCAGCGGAGGGATTGTATTTCCCAAACCGAAGCCAAATAGCAAGCAGCCCCACATTGAACCCAAGTCAAGTGCAGGAGTTGCGCACGAACCCCTCCTTGTTCGTCCCGTCGCCAATTCGGGCCCCTCAAGGGTCACAGAGATTCAGCCAAACTGGGGAGGTGTGGTGGGCAGCGGCTCGCTACACGATGGGTCCGGGGGGTGCTTCGAAAATGCTTCGTGGTCTCGGATTGCAGGTGTCTTTTACCGCCATGGACTCGTGGACGAAAGATGACTCGAGTCATCGGGGCGCCATCTCCCGGAAGTCTCCCCCAGGTGGGAAGTCTGACCAGGTCGCATGCTGCGAGCCAGTGGGACCTTGCTGGAGTGAGCTGTTCATATTTATTGGTCCACCATCGAACAGCTTGCTGTGAGGTCGGTCTTGTTTGGAGGTCGGTCTGACAAACGGCCCTTTCCATCCTGGAAATCCTCGATGACCTGAAAGGGACACATTTTGGTTGATGGTTCCTGATCGTTTCAATGCATTTCAATCCAGTGCATTCTCGACGCTCGTCGCCTGTGGGACGCTCCTTCTTTCGAATGCACCGAGCGGCTCGGCAAAGTGTTCGGTACACTATGCCTATTCAATCCAAGAGCGCTGCTTAAACGCCACGCCACCATCGATGTTTGAGCTCAAAGATCGAGGGCGATTGCAGCGAGACCATGTCTGGAGACACAGATGTCGAGACGGATCGAGATGGTTTGGTTTTGGTTCACATTTTTTGAGTCCATACTTACTATTTTCCCAAAAGGATGTGTTTTTTAAATGTGTTTTTTGTTATACCCGAGTAGTTTGCCTTGCAAGTTACAAGCGTTTTTTAAAAACATTTTTGGAGACGCAGAATATGACTTGAATTTAGATGGCACTCTGGTTGCCTCGCACCACTGAATCACCTAATGGTGAACCACCATGGAACTGAGTCATGCTGAGGAGATTTCCCGTAGTGATTGAAAAATTACACGGATGAACAACCATCAGGTTCCATCATGGTAGTTACCACTGAGTCTTTGAAAATGGATCTGCTTTTCCCTTGTGACTGGGTAGTGGAAATGCAGAGTCGCCCTATTTGAAGATCCGCTTCCACCGACCGCTTTCACGCTGAGGATCAGTCCGCAGGCTTTGCTCCTGCAGAATGGTGCTGAGGGCGGCGCAGCTGAGGGCCACTTGGAGTGATTTGAGATTGCTTGGTAACAGGTTCAGACCCTTGAAGTGTAGAGGTCTGCAAAAGATAGAAGGCGAAGTTCAATTACCGTATATATATATATATATATACGTCTTTAGAGCGGTTTGAGGGGATATGATTGGATTGTTTGAATTTTTTGGGGGGTCTCTCAAAAGGGGTGACGGTGATAGTCCTAGATTCTTTCAGGAGCCCGTGTGATTTGCCTGGCTCTTATTCAAGAGTGCAGTTGCCAAAGATTAAAACATTATCCCGGCAAGAGACCCCAAACAGTGTGCGTGAGGTCTGTAAGCAGAAAGTCTAGAGATCTAGACGAATTGGGGTCCAGAGAGGTGATGGTGGTGATGAAGGTGGGGATCGTGGTGACGGTGGTGAGTGATAGTGGGAGAGTGAGTGTGAGTGCGAGTGTGAGTGAGAGTGAGTGTGGGTGAGGGTGAGAGTGAGAGTGAGTGTGAGTGTGAATGTAAGTGAGCGTGAGTGAGAGTGAAGGTGGGTGTGAGTGAGTGTGGGTGAGAGTGAGAGTGACAGTGAGTGTGAGCGAGAGTGGCAGAGTGAGTGTGAGTGCGGAGTGTGAGTGTGAGTGGGAGTCGGAGACTGAGTGAGTGCGAGTGTGAGTGAGAGTGAGTGTGAGTGAGACTGAAGGTGGGTGTGGGTGAGAGTGGGAGTGAGTGTGAGTGAGAGTGAGCGTGTGAGTGAGTGAGAGTGAGTGTGAGTGTGAGTGGGAGTGAGTGTGAGTGAGAGTGAAGGTGGGTGCGAGTGAGTGTGGGTGAGAGTGAGACTGAGTGTGAGTGAGGGAGTGGGAGAGTGAGTGGGTGTGAGTGTGAGTGCGAGTGTGAGTGGGAGTGAGAGTGAGTGTGGGTGAGAGTGAGTGTGGGTGAGTGAGTGCGCGTGTGAGTGTGAGTGCGAGTGTGAGTGAGAGCGAGTGAGAGTTTGTGACAGTGAGTGAGTGTGTGAGGGAGTGCGTGAGCGTGAATGCGAGTGTGAGTGAGAGTGGGAGAGTGATTGTGAGTGCGAGTGTGAGTGTGAGTGAGAGTGAGATTGAGTGTGGGGTGAGAGTGAGATTAGGAGGGTGAGAGTGGGAGAGTGAGAGAGTGAGCATCTGAGAGGACTAACTGCCACGCAAATCTGCACTTCGAGGTTCACGAAGTGCTGTGCCTGCCACGAAATCTGCACGTCGATGTTCTCCAAGTGCTGTGCCTGCCACGAAATCTGCGCTTTGAGGTCCACCAATTAAGTGTTGTGCCTGCCACGGAATCTGCACTTCGAGGCTCACCAGTGCTGTGCCTGCCACGAAATCTGCACTTCGAGGTCACCAAGTGCTGTACCTGTCATGAAATCTGCGCTTCGAGGTTCACCAAGTGCTGTGCCTGCCACGAAATCTGCAAACGAGCCACATGCCCAAAAGTCACGATTCACTGCACCTGTCACGAAATCTGAGCTCCTCCAAATCACCACCATGTCCAAAGTGTTGCGCCTGCCACGAAAAGTGTACTTCGAAGTAAAACAGCTCCGATCCCTTGCACCTGTCACGAAAAGTCGACTTTGAAGCACCAAAACACGAGGTTTCCCTTGCGCCTGCCACGAAAAGTGATCACCATGTACCAAAATGCGCACGGCACCACAACGAGAGCGCAGTCGCGACAAGCACCCGCCGCGGGCACCCAGATTCTTCGAGCCCAGCCTGCGCAGTCGAAATGCACATTGACGATGTCGAGAGGCATGAATGTGCTATTTAGCGAATTGGCCGGACACGCCCGCGCGGAACAGCGATCTAAGCACACCTGCTGCTTTTCACTTACCGTAAGAATCCCTCAGTGTGCCCACACTGTTTGGGGAAAAACACGATACCCCTAGTGTATCCTATTGTTACATGCGGCAGTTCCTTGATTTGTTCAGTTCATTTTGGTATATCCTCCTACAGCAACTCTTCCGAACAGTGCTCAAGGGTTTGATGTGAAGGGCGGTTTGTTCTTGCAAGTATCACAGACAATTAGGGATGGTGATTGCTTGTGTTTGGAGGGCTGTGTCCGGGCTCTTGGCTCATGGACTGGCCCCAGCCTGTGAGGAAAGGCTAGGCTCCACCACTACACGCCTTTGTCCGCCTGTCTTGGTTTGGAAAGGGGTTGTTTTCTTTTTGGTGTCGTGTGCGCAGCGCGTATGCTTACAAGTTGTCTGATGTCATAAAACATACAAAAGTACCCCAACGATACACGAGGGAGTGCAAAAGGGAAGCCCCTTAGACAGTGCCCCATGGGCAAGCCTGCAAAGGTGCAAGCAGGCTTGCGTTGTCTAGTGAAAGAGATCAGACCAGCAAGCAAGCGAGTGGCAGAAACCAGCAATGTTGCGCTTGCTGGAGCAGCCCTCTGCAAACGGTGCTGGTGTCCTTCCTCACTTCACGGAGCTCGTCACGCTCCCTTGTTTGGGGGGATGCTCTCAGATCATGAATGACCACGAATAGGGGCTCCTGTGTCTTCTTGTCTGTGCGCTTGTGTTTGTGGTTTGTTTGTTATGATGCATGACGTTCATTGTTGGTGGCAAGGCTCCACCATGCGAAGCAAGTAAAACCTGCAATCTGATACATACAGTGCTCATTCTTCCAAACATTGTAAATCGATACGGGATGTCCTAACTTTGACTGAGTACAGCTTAAGTAAGTTAGAAAACAACTCATATGGACAAACAAAGCAAGACCTCTTTGGACATTCTCTTTTATGTTTTACAACGAATACGGTGAAAAACATATACAAGCATATATATATATACATACAATATCTAACTGCTCACTCTTCCGCAAACATTCCGAAGTGGATGTTCTGCAAGGTCATCAGGCACCACTTTGGGCTTGGGTCAAAGCTTGGAAGTTCCAAACCTAGGGCCCAAGACCTGTGTATGATTCATTGACCTTTGTGTACGACACCTTGACATTGTTCTCGGTGTTTGCCACCAACAGGTGTATAAGGTCTGACATGGTTTGACCAAGGAAGGTGTCACATCCTGGGTGGCACAGGTTTGCAGCATTTTCAGGGGTCGACACGGGTCTTGCCATGCCGCGTTCCTGATCATGGAAGTGGAGTGAAAATCACCACCTGTTTGTAGACGACAAGGGTCATCCAAAGGGGCCCACGTGCTCTACGAACACAACTATTTCAGAGGGTTGAGTAAGTGTCCAAAGTCCAACAAAGCGAGATGTTGCTTGGACTTCAACCAGAAAAACTGTGAACATGCAATCGACTTGCACCCAGCCAGGTGTGGGCTCGAGTCAGGTGTCACAATTTGACAGCATCGTAGCGCGACGAGAGGATGGTCCGTGAAGTATGTGTGCGTTGCCCACCAGCCAAATGTTCCTGGCCCATTTGCCACTCAAGTGTTTGTGTCGACAAGAAGCACATCGATCGACCAGTGGATTGGGAGTAGATGGCACAAGGGCCCCCAATGTCAGTGGACACGTCTGCCATGAGCTGAGGTGGCTACCAGGGTTCCTTCCTCTACTCCACAGGCTGGCACTGGAATGCAGATGCCCACCGCATGGGGACGTGTAACCCAGAGATACCCAGAGCATACTTCTACGGCAGGTGAGCGTATACCGCAACCCTTCCTTCAAAACCGTCCTTAAGCGCCAGAGTACTTTGGACCATTTGCGAACGAACACCGCACTGTGTCGTTCACGGTGCCGCCGGCGCTCCCAGGAGACCTGTTCTGTGGCAGCTTAGACGTCTATGGAAAGCCCAGAGGGCGAGGCGTTTCTCGGCGGGTTTCCGGGCCGGACGCATCAGACTGAGTGATAAAGCATTGTGTTTGCCGAGCGTCTGACGGAGAGTCTCTGATGGAAAGCGAAGACAATGTTCTTTCACATTGATGCCCGTTCTTTCACATTGATGAAAGTAGCTCTTTTTGGACTGTTGAGCGGTTCCTATCTCAATGAACTGCTTTGCTTGGTCTTTCCTTCTGGAATCGAGAGCGATTTCAACTTCAATGGCCGTTGCTTGAAGCAAGTAACTATTCCTTCCAATTCAACGTTTTTGGCAATGGCAAAAGAGGTTGCTATCAGAACATGTGTTTGCAAACGACTCCCCTAAAGTTGCATCATCAAGCTCATTCGTGAGCAACTGGTCACTCAGAAGCATGAGGTGTCCGTTTTCAGATACTTTTAGCCATTACTAGTATACCAGAAGTATACCAAGATCTTCCAACTCAAATTCCGCTGCTCGTTGTTCGTTTTCGCATGAAGCAGCACGCCGCAGCTCGTGACCTCGCACCCGTGCACCGGGCGAGTCGATGCGACTCTCGCTGCTTCGCAGAGCTCGGCGCAGCGGTCCAGGAATCCTCTACTACACTTCGCCCGGATCGTCCAGACTCGCTTCGCGACGCCAGGTCGGTCGGACGTGGAGTGAGGGGAAAGACGACATGGGACGACATGGTCAAGTCAACCAGGTCTGGCTGCCAGACCATGTTCCCAGGATTCAATTGGACTCCACTGATGATTCATTGAATTCATGTTGTTTTGACTTCCACCATGAGGCCTTGACAGCAATGTTTGCAACATTGCAAATGTTGCGACCTCGCCTTTTGTTGCCACGATGAAGGGCACATGTGCAACTCGCCTTGTGGTCCATGGTGGTCGCAACTTAGAGACAGATTCGAATGAATGGGCGGCCTGAAGTTATGCATATATATGATATTATATGATTATATATGTTTGAAGAAGTAGGTTCCCGGTTCTTCTGTACACCAAACCAAATCACCCAGGTTGCAACAGAAGCTCACCAACCTGGGGTGTGTCGCGAGGTGTGGGCTTGGAGCACCATGTTGTAGCCATAAGCACGTACTGAATCCGCAGATGCAGCGTGCTCCGGCACATGGTTGTTTTCATTGTTTGACCGGTCTAACCGAGTCTAACCCTTCCACATCACATGAACCAAACATCTGTTTGTGCGTTCCCAAAACCGGCTGCAGACCATCCGTATCCATCCTTCCCTTCGGAATGAGGTCCGGCGAGTGTGATGTGGCCACCTTCGATGGAAAACTGAATCAATACGGCGAAGGTGTCGGGATCCCCGGCTTCGCGGAAGACGAACGCGACGCGGCGGCTGACGCCATTACGCCTCTCGCAACTCTGAATCCGATGCACGGCTTCGAAAAGCAGCCTGGTGGACTGGTGCCATTCAAATCCATTCAAGCGTTTGATCCACTCATAAAGCATGTTTGATTCATGTTGTATGGCCTGCAATCTGGCAAATTCAGGCCGCTGAAGGGGATTGCCATGAGCAAGCAGGTTTTGTTCGGCTCACTGATTGGATTGGGCAGATAGGGTATACTTTCTTCTTTGAGATCTTCGGGCATTTTCACCAGAAATGAAAAAAAACACGTCCCAAACAACTGATTTCTGAGGGCCGGCCGCCGACCCGGAACAGAGAATGTACCCTGATCTCGTGGGGGTTGGCGAGGTGCGATACTCCAAAGACAGAGACGTCGCCTACAGGAGCAGGGGAGGATGTGGGCCATGGCATGGCCATGGCATGATCATGGCATGATCATGCCGTTTTTTTGTTTTGTTTTTGTTTTTACTGCGCAGAAGCAATGCATGGACGTTCCGAAGTTCCAAAACTTAGAACTCCACAGAGTAGATAAACTGCTGTAACATGATCTAACATGACATGTGTTGTCTTGCAACTCAAGGCCTTGATAGAGAGAGAGAGAGTTTTGCCAGATCACCAGTACTGGTAGCAGGTGAACTGGCCGCTGCAGGTGTTGCGTGGATCAGAGTTCAAGATTGTTCTAAGGGATCACCGCGGCTGAAAGACATGCAGTCAGATCACAGAGACAGACATCGCGGCGGACTCGGGCTGAGCGGGCACATGTCTGCAATCCGCGACGGTTATATACTTTGGAACATCAAGCCAGACATTTTTGACTACATATATTGATTGTCATGTAGCTCCTCCTGATATATCATGATATATATATATATAATTATTTATCCATCATCTATGGAATCTTCCAAGCAAGATGGGGAACATGTCACAAACACCGCGCTTCTCTGGAGGAATGCAAAAGACTTCGTGGTACCTCCTCTAAGACTCAGTAAGACTCTAGGTCCTTGGTCAATCAGACCTCCTTGCAATAGTCCACTCCGGTTGGCATCTCTTTAAAACATCTATGCCATCTTTTCTTCACGTAACCTTTTTATATGTGTATTTTCATTTTAGAAATGCTGCTCATCCACGTGAAACTGAACTCCTTTCTGCCCCGTGCAGAAACCTCGGTCGCTGTAGATCCAACCGCCCTTCGCCGAAACCCGGGGGCGCGGTTGGTCTACGGTGGATCGCGGTCAGGATCTTCAACGGTGAAGCGGAGGGCGGCTCCGTGGATTTGGACGAAGCCCTGGAGATCACCGGCCTGGCGGAGCGATTCAGACGTGTTTCCTTCGGGGGATCCGACGACGCCAAGGGGTGGGGAGGCTGAGTTTAACTGGAATGAGCAGACGAAAAGTCACCACACGTGTGACGAAAACGTGAGTGGGAACCTATAATTAAGGACCTCAGGGCCTGAGGGTTTTGGAGGATGAGGGGTTTGGTGAGCTCAGATAAGCGATCTTTTTGTCGGCTCCTCCGTTTTGGGAGGGCCGGTTCTGTTTGCATGGCGCATAGCAAGTGCTTGTTCGGAGGATATTAAGATAAAGATTAACTATTTATATATTAGTATTAACTCAAACTACATTAAACTATATACATAGTGTTTCTTCCACATATAGTCACATAGCCATATGGCCCATCGGCGATTTCGCCCCATCCCCATCTTCCTCGCCAAACGACACACCTGGAAGCCTTGCAGCGAAAAAAGGAACGACTGGAGCCAGGACCAGAAATTGCAACTGATTCCTTCGAAAGTGATTCATGCAAAAGGCCCTTTTCCATCCATTTCGCTGTATGTGGAGGTTGCTCTAAGGGCTGGGAGGATTGGCAAAAGGCAGTTGGTTTCGTGCCCATTCCATATATGAAGAAGAAATCCCGCATTGCCGGTCTAGCCGCGATGTTGCCCTTTTTCCTTCCGTTGCATTCCCGATGCGATTCGCGGGTGCACAAGAACGAGCCACGGACGTGAGTTTTCGAGCGCCCCGAATGGAGCGCAGGGGCGGTGTATTCTTTTACGGAGAGTTGAGATGGTTGAACTGGTTGAACGTGCCATAGAATACAACAGGCAACCAACATAGTTTTTGATCACTTGCAGAATCAACATCGGCGGTTTTGTCCACACACACATGTTGAAAGAAGCTTCAATGTCCGAGTGCACATTTCATCCTATCACAATCTCTTCACCCTTCCTGCTTGCGCTGCTCTTCTTCTGCAGGAGACTCCAGCAGTTCATTCCTATGACTCCATTACACCCTGCACAGGGCCTGGGTGTCCCAAAGCACACGCGCGGCAACGCCGATTTCGCGCGGGTTTCGGGGGATGGACTTGGGATTGTCTGGGTATCGCTTCATCACTCGGAACAGGCCCAGAATCACAAGTCTGAAGGGTTTCTGTTCCTCCCATTTGATCCCATTTGACTTAGAAACATCTGAAGAAAGTGGCTGGGGAAGCACTGCATGTGATTGAGTCTTCCCATGTTGAGACCGAACCCATTTCTGGCAACTGGCATGGACATGTATGGACTGTTTTGATAGGACTGGCTGGAGAAAGATGTTTCAAGGATGTTTGTGGGATCATCATCTTTGGGTATTAGTAGGTCACCTGCTTCTTTCTTTCTTTCTTTCTTTCTTTCTCTCTAAAATATGGGGTTTAACACCCATGTTGTTGTTTGCTGAACTCGGTGGTGAACTCGCAGCATAGCAAACAGGCCCAGCTGGGGATGGGGGGGGCTGAAATCAAGTGATTTCTCCAGATGGCCGTGGTGGGCACACGGTGAATCACTAGGTGCTAGTGGGGTGACTTGGGAGAAGAGAGCATGACGCAACAAAAACATTGAGGTGGCCCAGCGAATGAGATCCCTTGCCATCCCTTGCCCATCTTCAATGGGGCACTGAAAAGCCCGTTGCTCCGTCCGACTGCAGGTTTGACCCTGCTCGTTACAAGCAGACAAAGGCCCCGGCATTTGTCTCGCCCGAGACGATCGGTCTTGATGGACTTGGTGGACTTGATGAAGTGTCTGATGAATGGATGACTTGGTCACGAGATGGATCTTCGGTGATTTTTAGCATGGGAAATGGGTGGCGTGATTCGACAAATTTGTGCAATGTTCCTTTCAAAAGACACTCCGGTGTGGCCGTCTTCCTGGGGGTCGCCCTTCCGGAATTCTTTGTAATTGATATATAAAATATATAACAAATAAATATATATATATATATTGTACATGTTAGATGTTCCCTTCCGGGTGTTTACAATGGCTGGTTTGGGTCAATTGTTTTAGCACAAATTGCTGGTTTTGGTCGATGGTTTCCACGAGCCATCGCGGATGCGAAATTCGGAAGTCCGGCGCCGTGTGAAGCTCCGGCTCTTTCGAGGTTGGCTCGTTTGAGCCAGCCCTTCTCTATCCCAAGGCAACGTGTTTTTTAAAGCTTTAAAGCACCCACCTTGCTTGGACCAAACAAGGCAAGATGCACAGTCAGTGGTGCAACATTGATTATATATAAGTACCACACGGCTTCTTTCTGTTCGACCTCCCCTACCTTGTGTTTTCCTCCCGGCCACACGTTCGGTCCGGTTCTCTGGCATCATCACCGATCGGCCGATCGTAGCTTCTTGTTACGTTCGTAGCGATGGCCTCCCAGCTACTTGCGATGGCCCGCAGAAAAAAAAACCGTCCTGGCTATATAGTAGTAATGGCCTCCACCAGGCCTGGTAGCTTCATGTAGAACTCGTCCGATCGATCGATCTTTCTCAAGGCCTGGTTTGCTTACCGCAAGCTGGCGGGCTTACCCGTGGACGAGCAGCCCAACGGTCCGAGTCCGTGCGACCGGGTCCTGGACGTTTCGGGAAGCTCACCATCTGAGAGGAATCCAACATGATAGGAGTCCATCTGGCCCAAACCAGTCAAGAAGGAATCCAGTTCAAATGATTCTGATACAGGCCAACATGTGAAGATGCGATGACAGATATCAGGGGCGCTAAGGACCTGAGAATTTTTTGAAGAGCGATGACCATTTCCACTGCATCATACTTGGTGTTAAAAAGGACTGAATGGGTCCACTCCAAATGCCCCCTGCACCCTATCAATGCTTTTTTGCTCCAGCTACAGGGTTACCCCTGGCGCTTCTTCCCGTCCGGTCCACGACAGGTATCAACCTGTGTGGCGCTGACAGCGCGCTGAATTCCCTCCCTCTTCCCGCGACGCAAAGCAGCCGGCGCGAGTGGTGAGAAATCAGCAGCGTGAGCGGTGAGAAGCTGCCTTGAGTGGGAAGACCGTGATTGTTGGGCTTGCAGGTTGATCGAAGGGACTTGAAGGCATGGTTTATGAACGCCACTTATCAACATGCCGTTGAGTTTCAGACATGACCCTGGAATTGTGTAGCATAATATACGTATGCAATGCCTGGAACGCGCGGAAGACAGTGGTTCGGCATGGTGTTTCGCATGCATCGAACCTTGGCTCACAGCAAATGAACCTTTGAACTGCGGTTTGGAGGGCCTGGATGGTCTCCTGAACCCAGCACCTGGCTGTCATAAGCATAGCATGCAGACTCGTTCAAGGGATCCATGGCAATCACTTAAGCAGATTTGGAATGAGGAGTCCTTCCACAGTCGAACCCCCAAAAAACGGAGGTGTGCTCTGGAAAAACATCTCTGAGTCCTTGCCAGCTAGAGGAAATGGCAGCTCGCGCTGCACTTGGAGGATTTCTCACTTAAGTGGACAAACGCAGACTCTAGCTCGAGGACCTGGACGTCTTTCTGGGAGGGTTTCTTTTAGGCCAGGAAGTCCGCCCAGACACACAACTGCTGGAAGCTCCGGACAACCCATCCGACCCGCGTCGTACAACCCATCCGACTCCGAAGCATGGCGTTGCTGCAACCTGATGCGGGAGTGCTAGACCTGTTTCGTGCACTGGACGGATTTCACAAGGCTTATTGGAGGAGCAGCCATGCCACTTGGCCAGATCTAGATCCACAGCTTTGGCGGCCTGTATGTTGGAATATGTTTGACGATGCTTGATGTTGCTTTTTACTTTGTGCCGTTGGCGATTGTGTTGTTTTCGCCAACACGGTTTGATGAGAACCTAATGCTGTTTGCTGTTTGATAGGGGGGAGGTCTACTGGTGGAAGAGAACTTACTGCAATGGCATTGCAGTTTGCGACCGTTTCTCCTCCAAACACCCCTGGAAAAAGAGGGACAGACTCGAGACGGACTCCTTTGCCCGATGTTCGCACGGATGCTGCAGCTTCACGGCTCCCGGTCTGGACCGATGTAGCAGTGCTGTTCTTCTTCCCGGACCGGACCGGTTGAGGCTTTCAATTCTTGGGTATTCTTTTTAAACTGAACATTCCTCATTGGAGGAATGGTCATTCAGATAGTCACAGTGATTCAACGCGGAACTGGAGAAAAGCTACCGAGCTACCAAGACCTCAAAGCAAGACCTTGTTTCCAAGACCTCCGGGTGCAACTCGACCGTTCATTCATCAAACCTCCCCGAAACCCTCCAGGTCGGTCCGGGGTGAAGGTTGAACTGCCCATGCACTCAGCGGGCATGGCGTTTCCGCATCCAGACGACCAACGATGACCAACGACACATGCGAACCCCCAGTGCGCAAGTCATCAATATGTCTTGGGTCTGTCCCATTGCCTGTAACAGTCGGTAAACACATATCGCCACTATTTTTATGTGTTTGATTGTGTTTGTATAATCACGTAAAAGGCCTTTACTAAGCATCATCATCCACTTGATACTGATAGTAGGATAGACCCCAACATATCTCCTTTGTGGAACCTGGTTTCCCGGACCTCCACCCCGACGAACCACCGGACCGTGCTGCGCACGCTGCGCACCGGACCGGACTAGGAACCCGTGGCCAGCCGTGCGGTGACGAAGCTCCGACAACCTTTGGTGGAACTCGTGGGCCTGGCGGCCACGTGGCGATGGGAGGGCGGAGACGGGAGGTTCCAAAGCACCGAAGCGAAGGGAAGGTGGGACTGGGGGTGGGAGGGTCCAAAGACCTGAGGAGGTACGACTGGAGCCCCCAAAAAGGGAGAATGACCATTCGGTGTATGGAGTAGTTGGTTGGAGTTTGTTTAGAGAAAACCAAGATAGACACTGCATGTTTTGAATTGAGGGAAAGTACATGAAAGTAACATACATACATCATTAAAACAAAAAACAAAATCTTGCATTGTTTTTCAATTATATAAACGATATTACTATATTAATGTTATATTGTATTGTTTGTATTGTAGTTAGTTATATTATGATACATGACATCATATTGTATTATGTCATACATTATATATACACAAACCGGATGTTCGGGCTCCTTATCGTGTTGAAATTCACCGGCCCCACTTGGACAGCATCCCTTGGACAAGTTGAATGAATGACTTGAACAGGAACCCTTTTTAGAAGTGAGAAGGGGCCAACTTTGAAAAAAACAGCGAAGCAGCAGCTCTCCGACAGCATCACTCAGGTGGTGAATGTACTCGAGGAGATGCGATCAGGAGCGGTGGAACGAGGGGGTGGAACGAGGCATGGAACGAGGCCCTTGAGACAAACGAGGCCCTCAACGGAACGCGGATGGTGACACCAGTGGAATTGGGCCAAGATGGAGGTTTTTGCACAAGAACTGGTGAAGGACTCTAAGATGGAGGTGTCTCGATGTTGGGGGCCGGGGAGTGACAGCTTGTTCTTAAAGAAGACCAAGTGGGAGAGTTTTGTTTTGTTGATGGTTTCTCATGACGACTTCCTGAAACGTACTGCGCAGCAAGCGACCGATGTCCGTATATGACCTGGTTGGGCAGAGGGCTTTTCTTGGGGATCACTGTTCTCCACAAAGCCCTCCACAGAACACAGAACGAGTGATTTGCCACAGCAACATATGCGGCTGGGAAGGTGGAAGGACTATTAAGGCCCAAAGACACTTGGGCAACTTAGGTTCCATGTCAATTTCTTTAAAGTTGCAACCTTCAACCTATGGCCAAATTAAGATAAATTAAGTATAGTTTTGCGTCCTTCACAGTGATGGTTTTCCATACAAGATTCCTACAACCTCTAAGAACAAATCAGCTCAGGTCCTACCTATGTCATCTGTAAAGCCAGGAGTTCTTTCTTTCCCCTTCCATCCGCGAGGACTGTCGGATCCACGAGTGCAATGGGTCGGCGTCAGCTTTTTGAGAGCTGCCCTACACGACTCCAATGGCACCACCAAAGATATCATTCAGAGAGCCGGCGCCCGGGCGAAAGACGTAGAACGAACTCGAGCTCGTCGGCGAAGGCGTCGCCGTGGTGGTTCAGGTGGTGTTCGGCGCCCGGCGAAGACCTCTTTTCCGATGTTTTTGCGTCGAAGAAAGACTGATGTGTCAGTCCGAACGTTTGGACAAAGATCTGATGTGCCACAGATGAGGCCTCCAAACGCCTCAAGGTTTCAGCCGGTTCAGCGGTTGTCCAAGAAACGTGGCGTGTTTGGGCCATGACCTCGGACTTGTGAGAAGAAACCTCGGACTTGTCAAAGAGCTTGGACTCTGAGAGTCTGAGAGTGACGAGTCTTAGTATTAGCACCACCAAAAAACCCGACCACCACCGGCCACCACCTGACTCAAATAGCCCAGACTGAGCCTGTCAGTGTTTGTTCATGTGCTATTCGAGTTGTTCCCCAAAGCAGTCTGGGGATTTGAGATGATTGATTTGAGGAAATTGTTCCTGATGTTTGTTGCCTGTTGTGAGTTCACTTGTTGAGTCCGTCCTGTTTGGGTGATTGATTTAGCAGCTTGCAACTCAGCCGAGCTTATACCCGTCCCCTCAATGTTCAGATGAGAAAGGAGGGTTACACTCTTTATGTCAATCATGGTCAATTGTCAATCTATCTCATGCAATCGCTTGTCTAATCCGCAGAACAACAATAAGCCGAAGAGAATTGACCAGAGCTTCCCTTTCCACTTATTGTTTGTTTGTGATAGGAGCCAACTGACACTCAGTGCATGCATGTTTCGATTCAGCGAACTGGTCCTTGACCGCTCAGGTGTCCTTGACGTGCTGGTCCGAGTCATGCTTCTCAGCTTATTGAGGGGAGGGAAAAGCAGCTACCAAGAAAGGGATGAAACAAACGATCCGCACAAAGCATTCAGCACGTCCGCTTAGCCGGCCACCCACCGACCCAAATTTGATGGTAAACGAAAAGGCCAGGAAGTCTGAAGTCGTTGGCAAGGGAACGCACGTGCACAAAAAGAAGCATCCACTTGTCCATCCTGGATCATCCTCGATCCTGATCAGATCCAGCATGATCCAGCGGATGATCCAGTGGATGCGTGACACCAACGGAGCTGAGGACGAGCCATGCCAGCACGGAGCACTTGCTGGCGGAAGCTTTGGCGGTCCTCGACGACGCTCGGGATGCGCGTTTAAACCAAACCGCCGGGCCCAACGCGACTGCGAGGGAAGCGAGGGGAGGAGGCGTTGGACGTTTTTTCTTGTTTTCCGATAATTTCTTGTGTATTTTGTTGGTGGTCCCGTGTTGGAGTGATGACATAAACCTACTTCTCCACTTAGTGTTTGTTCATGGGCCGAGCTACTAAGTTACTAGGTTCCCGCTTATGTGTTGTGATCCTTGCACAGCCCAGTGCCACAAGAACCCAAGTGCATAAATCAAGTGCTGTGCCATTCCTGTGCAGAAAGCACTGTAAGCCTCTAATCTGAGGTTGTGAGTTATATTTTGTGTTTTAGTCTATATGTGCCGGTGTGCTATGCCAACTACGGTTTGGGGAAACATTGGAGAACGATATGGACCCCACCAAAAGAGCGATAATCATGTCACATGGTATTTGGCTACACGAGTAATTTTGTCCGCTGCTCATGTAAAGACTATATGATGCTCCATGTGAAAGAACATGTCAAATGTACCCGATGCTGTGATGTTTGTTCGAGTTTGTTTGCTTTAAAGTAGTAGGCTTCAGCCTGCTCAACCATGTGCAGATTTCCTGTTACGTGTGGACATCTGCGGGCCTATATTAATGGTCAGAGATTCACGAAAGTCTTTCTTTATCTTTGGATATCTTTGGAATGTCTTTCCCAACGTGTGCACAGATTGAGTAGTTATTTTGCAAAGAGAGAAAGAGAGGAATGCCTAACCTGACAACTGACTTTGACTGGGACATTTGGTGCCTCGTTTCGCTCCCCCGTTCTCCGACTACACTCCTCGCTTTCCAGTAGTCTATATAACTATAACATACTGCTAAATGCAGGGAACTAGCGTATCATATATACATCTCACACTAACTACTAGTAGTAGCAATAAGAAGCTACTAGGTTGGAGGCCATCGCCTTTAGATCCTTTAGGTTGGAGGCCATCGCTTTCGCTTTTCATCCGACTGCTTCACACGGAAAGGCACCCATGACCCGCATCGAACTCCATCCCCTCGCCGCTCAGGAGCTCCACGGGCTGCCGGCTCTGCTGCAAGCGTTGGACCACCTGCGCAGTAGCCCAGCTGCCTCCAAGGCAGCGCTGGTGCAGATCCGGAATTCCGCGCCTTGGCCAGTCGGTGGAGTCGGTTGGGGGAGATGGGTATTGAAACGGTGGTGGTTTTCACAGGAGGAATGGACCTGATCTCATGAGATGTCTTTGAAAGAGTGGAGTTGAAGTGGTTCAGGATTTGGTGTATTAATATGGAGATGCTTTGAACTTTTTGAACCAATTGGCGGTGTGCGAACAAGTCTTGGAGATGTTCACGGTGGATGAAACAGCCCATGTTTCAGCTGTTTCAGAATCTGAACTGGGTGTTCATGCCTGATCCGCTTTGATCCGTCTGATTGCTTGGATATCTACGAGTCCTATCTGCTTCGTCCTAAAACCGGTCGAACTCCGGTCCTCTGAGTTGAGAGCCGAGCTTCGCAAAGCAAATCCCCCCAAAATCTTACTGGAGTTTTCTTGATATTGATTCATTAGTTCATATTTTTCATATTTTTGATCCCCATTTTTTTTGTATTTGTCATATTTTTGATCCCCAAATTGTTCATATATGTTCATATTCTTGATCCCCAAATTGTCCTATTTTCATATTTTTGATCCTCAATTTGTTCATTTTTTCATATTTTTGATCCCCAAATTGTTCTTTTTTTTCTTATTGTTTTATCTCCAAATTGTTCGTATTTTTCATATTATGTTTGATCCCCAAATTGTTCATTTTTTAAAACATATTGTTGATCCCCAAATTGTTCGTATGTTTCATATTTTTGATCCCCAAATTGTTCGTATTTTTCATATGTTTGATCCCCAAATTGTTTATATGTTTCATTATTTTTCATATTTTTTATCCCCACATTGTTTGTATTTTTCATATGTTTGATCCCCAAATTGTCGTATTTTTCATATTTTTGATCGCCAAATTGTTCGTATTTGTCATATTTGTGATCTCCAATTTGTTCGTATTTTTCATATTGTTGATCCCCAAATTGTTCGTATTTTGAGAAACGCTTATGGCCACTTATGGCCAGTTGTGGTACCCACTCCTGAAATCAGACCTCACAAGTCTGCATGCGCTTGTGGTGCATTTTTCAGACACACGGCCCAGAAGCAGGAAGTCTTTCCAATACGTGTCGTCATGGGCAACGAGTTGTCTTCGCTTGCTCAGGCTCGTGCGAGATGGCATGAGGTGGAACAGGCGGACAACTTTCAGATGATGCGGGCGACTCGCAACGAAGTCTCTTTTGGAGACGAAAACACACGCCGTGGATTTCGGTCTCGACCTGCAAGGAGGACATGGGGGGCAGCCAGGCTAAGACATGTCGAAACAATGCAGAGACAATGGATGGGTATCATTTGACCGTAGACTTTCAGTGACCCGGTGAAAAAGATCTATATAGAAGTGAATCACTTAAGCGTCTTGAACACCATGTTCATTCATTGGGGACTCGGCAATGGACTAATTGAACTCCGGTGAAGCAATCTCCAATACTGGCAGTCTTTGGATGTTCCGCATCGATGCCGTGCTTCGTCTTGGAGCAACCCAGAGCCAGTGCTCGTCTTGGGTGTCCCAAGACTCTTCATGCGAACCACCTTATTATAGACACTTCGCGGAGTTCTGTTTCAATCAGTCTCGGAGGTTTAACATGTGCGGAGTCCCTGACGCAAAAGAACCATAAAGAACCCGTCATAGATGACCGTGAGGCGCTCCGGCAAACGAAATTCATGCAATTGAAATGTTTTTACTCTCTTCAATCCGCAGCGGTCAGTCTAAGATGCCTCTTCCTGTTGTCAAAGCCAAGCCTGATAATCTACGAGGCAACATTCCTCTGTGAACAGGCACTCCTCAGTTCGGTTGGACACGTTTTCAAGCACATGCATTTGCACCCCAAGAATCACCTAAACACCACCGGTTGGGGCCCGGTTGGGGTGTTTCCTCCAAAGCCTTTTGACCTGAACATGGGCCTTTCCAGCGCCAAGTCGGAGAGTCGGAGAGACCACAGAGTCGGAGTCGTTTAACCACGTTTCCTCCCGGCCAAAACGCTGAGGTGATCCTCATGTCGCTTCAAGCGCATCAAGATCCTCAAGTGATCCTCCTCGGCCTCCAGGTGCCCAGAACGGACCGTCCAGCGCGGTGCGTGCGGATCGGTGGGAGGCGAAGCCGCACGGCTCCGTGGGACCCGGGAATGGTGAGGACAGTCCAGTTGGATCGAGTTGGGTCCATGGGTTGGAAACATGGAAACATGTCAGAAACACCAACGGCCACGGCTGATCCAGCGTGTTCTGCAGCGTGGACTGCAGCGTGGCAGCGGCAAGAGTCGAAGAGCAGGCTGAGCAGCCCAATGAGATGATTCTCCTTTGAAAGGGACCCATTGAGCCATCAGCATGCATCAGCTCATGTGGTCGAGTCTAGTCGGTCTTCAAGTTAGTGACAGACTTGTTCCGTTCAATATGATGAAAAACATGGTGTCCAAATGGATAGTGGCACAGTGTCCAAAACATTCTTACTGGAGATCTACTTTCTATCTTTTTTGGTGTTTAAAATCTATAATAAGTCTAATTATATGGTCCTTGGCTCCGGATCTACATGACCAAGCAAGTACATCCAAGCTGTGGAACGTTGTTTGGCCAAGGAGCCCGCCCGAGAAGGAACATGCGCTTGTGACGAAATCCGCACCTTTGAAGACAACAAAACATTCCTTGTCGCCCAAAGATACCACGCAGTGCATGAGAAAATATCAACTCTTGATGGACCAGCTGCGACACCTCACCACTATGCCCTGCCTTAAAGCCTGGTGTTGACGAGGTCCAAGAAGACGAGAAACAACGCGCACCGGACGCAAGAAAGTGCTGGTTCGGACATGTGACACGCGAGCTGCGCCAGTTGTTGGGGGACCTGGCGGGTGATCTTCCAGAGACACGCAGTGCCTTCTTTAACCTCGGCTACTTGGGTGTCTTCGGAGTTTGGGCGGGCGCTGGGATCCCCTCGGATGGAGCAGACCGCTATAGCTTGACGAAGCGTCGTTTTGGTGTCTGACATCACCGGGGACCGGCGGTGGTCATCTAGTTATGGACATACTTTGTTTTGACATGGCTTCATTTTAGGTTGACTCTCATACCCCCCCGTTTTTTTAATTTAAAAGATCTCAGGCATCTTCGAGTGCACATGGGGGTGTTTGAGCAATCAACAGTCAACACTACTTGAGGGGTGTCCCAAGCCCTGGGAGTGGAGTCGTGCTGCTGTGGGCTTGTTTTGCCTCGACACGAGAAGTTGCTGTGACATCTGTGTCGCCACAGCCCACGCGAGAATGCGGATGATTGATCTACTCCCTCCTCAGACTTGAGAAAGTGGCTGAGCTGGGTTTGATGATAGCCATCCACAGTTGTGGAAAGAGTTTTTTTCTTGAAAGTAATGAGTCGTCTATACTCCGACTACACCAGCTTTTTTCAAAGTGACCTCAAACCAGCGGATCCAAAGGTCACTTTGAAGAACCAGGTAACCTACTCTTTCAGAGGAACATGTTTTTGGGACATAGGCTAAATCGGTAAAGGCTCCAAACGAACGCCTTTTGATGGATTTTTTGGATACATCCTTTGTGAATCTGTAAAGCTCAGACTGGATCACGTTGTTTTCCAAACTGCCGCCCAAATAGTGCCATTCGATGACTCTCACTGTACTCCCAGAAACAGTCAGGCAAAACTCAGCGGATGAACCATTGCCTAGTGATCCCTTTATCCTGTTCAAGGTTGGCGCCAGGCTGTTTTGCACTGGAAAACATGGATAGAACATGATAGAACCGCTTGTTTTGCTTCGCACCAAGGTTTCCAGCACCGACCTTCTCCCGTGTTTCAACCAGGGTCATGAGACCTTAAAGCCCTTCTTCGGAACAAACACAAAACCACCCGTTTGGGGCGCCCGCCCACGGGGCGAAAAGGGTCGAGCCGCGGCGGCATCTCAGGTGGTTGGGACTGGCTCCTGCAGCTGCTCGAGTCGTGGGACCAACTGGAAATCCAACAAGTGCACTGGTCGAAGATCTGGGGGAGTGCGAGGTCTGCGAGGTCTGCAAGGTCTGAGCGAAGCAGCATGAAAGGGAGGAAAGAACAGCCAACGACTAAGGAACAGTAGAAGGATTGAAGAAGAAAAAATAAGAGAAAGGCAGTTCATTCTTTTTGTTTTGGTTTCGGTTGCTTAAGGTCTGTGCCCTTGTCTCCCCATGGGGATCATCAGAATATCTTCGTAGGTTCGGTGGTTGGTGTGACAAACCCCTTCCAACCACCGAACCGCATGGGTGGATCGCTGGCGCGCTTCCATGGGCATCCGTTCCACTCTTCAATTCGACAGATGTGCAAGGGGCACCCCCGTGGGGCCAACCTCGACACGTCTTGACGCAAGACCGGAGCCGTTCAGCACGCAACACTGAGGAAGGCATCCGCATGGTCTCGCAGCTTTGCGACTGGTCCAACTTCGGAATTCAAATAACCTTTCAAAAACGATTCACTTCTGCAAACCATGTCTACTCTTGCTTTCTCTGATGTTGGAAGGCCAGCGGCCGCGTTGGCCGCGCGCGCACGTCTTGCATGCCGCTGCACCTCTCTGGTCACGTTGTCTCCGCGTCAGCCGGCCGAGGTAAGGGCGGCGCCTGCGGCGACGCCTTCGCGCCGCGCGTGGAGAAGGTCCTGCAGCGCTGCCTCGAGCGGTCGCAGCACGACGGGAAAGTCCTGTCGCTCGGCGGGCGGAAAGGGCGTCGTGGTCCACGGCGGGCGGTTGGGATGAGACGTCCACGTGGTCATCCACGAGTCAGGTCCATGAGTCACGTGGTCGTCCATAATAGTAGTTTTATGTCTGCACCATGCCAAGCATGGATCCTTGATTGACAAGGATCAAGGAGGCTAGGCAGATTTTGCATATTACAATCTTATTTGCGTCCGGGTGTGCCCTTTAATCCAGTTGACTAGGTTGTCAGACAACAGTTGGGACTCGACTATTGAACGGGTGGTTTTGGAACAAGAAACGCTCCCCACCAGCAATTCTCACTCCTCAGTGTCCGGTCATCAATAGTCCTCATCAGGGCTGCAGAGGTTTGGTATTACATCCTCATCCCTATCCCTGTCCTCATGGTTCACGCCAAGCTGGGCGCAAGCGGCGACTCCGCTGCTCCATAGAAACTCCGCTGTTCATTTTCTTCCACCACCGCCGTACCTGACACCGCGTGACCTGCTCTGCTGGTGGCTGGAGGTACTGGGGCTTGTGGGCGGTGCAGCAATTGCACGGCGTGAAAAGTTTGTTGGCCACCTTGCAGTACAGCTGCTCCCGGGACCACTTCAACGAGAAGGCCCAGGTTTCAAGATCTGAAGCTCTCATTGATGCTGTTTGGATGGCGGAGGAGCGGCCCTTGAAGCATTGGAAGGTTTGTTTCGCGCAACGTGTATGACAAAGGTGGAAGAACAGTGGTCGAACTGCAATGAACTGGATCAAGGAGCTTTTGTTGTTGACGTGACGTGAGGCGTGTCAACAACGTTGCAAATTCGGTGTCAAACACCCGGCCCAGACACAGTCCATGAATCTTTACCCCGCCCCGCCAGTCCGGACGGGGTGCCGGTCGAAGGAACAGTCGCGACCCAAACGTGACCCAAACGTCGCTTGGTTCAGTTGGGTTCCAGGTGGTTCAGTCAACCTTGAGATCCCTGAGCCACGAGCTGAGAGGAAATGGAGAGGTGAACCCCGTGAGCTGGGGAGCTGGGAAAAACCATACATATAGATACAGCCATATATATATATACCCTATATAGATATATGTAAGCCTGGCATGTTACTGTATGCATGTTTGATCTTACAATTTGTGTGATTTTGTGTGTTTGTTCTTTTCTGACCTTTAATAGTGAAAGAGGATAGCATTCATTTCGAATAGCAGCCTCCTCATTCAAGCAAAGAATTGTGCTTGTCAGAGAATAGCGGGAGTTCAATCAAGTTCTGAGAGTATGGTGGATTTTTATGGATTGTGGGAACGGGGGAGGGGTCAAATGTGTTCAAAATGTTTTTCAATGTTAACAAGCTGTTTATCTATTGTCTTTGCATGTCATTTCACAGCCTGTTTTCTTCCTATTATTTTCACAATAACACATGCATGACAATTGAGCACAAATGCAATTTCAACATACATCCCAAAATTCAACTCACACCTGAAGGCCATGTGCTTCCAGTTTGATACGTGCCAGATGCAACATAAATTCACATCAAATGCAATTCCTGAAGTATTTTATCTACATGCTTGTGAATGCACAGGTCTTTTGCAAGACCTCAGTCTTGGCTGCCACGAATTGGAACTCCAAACAGGTGAAGATGCGTGGGAGAGAGTTTTCAGTATCGAAGCTGATGGATGTGGAGGAGTGTTGGTTTTTTCAACCCTGAGGTCAGATTTGAGGCTCCTTGAGTATCAGAGGTCATCCATGGGTTGAAAAAACTTGGAGGATGGTTCGGTGGCAAGTGCAAGGGAAGGCTGGTCGATCACTGAAAATTTGTCGGGCCACTACCCTACATACTGCAGCAACAACACCAAGGACGACGACAGCATCAACATCAACATCAACATACGAAGACCCGCAAGGGCCCGCAAGGGTATGGGTTTTGACCCTGGTTTTGATCAACGAAGCTCTTCCACCGTTCGGTGCCACCGGCTTTTCATTCGCGTTCGCTCCAATGGGCACTTCGTGAACCAGGTGACGCCTCCAGCGCCCGCCGCGAGAACGATCACCGGCGAAGCCGCTCGCTGAGGCGATCTTGCCTGGGAAGGCGATCAAGCTGGATTAGCGACTTGGAGCAGTTGGAGAAGCCAAGCAACCGGCTTGAGCATGCCGAAAAGAGAGGCAATTGGCTCGTAGCATGCCGCTCCCTATGATTTCACATGATTTTTCAGGTGTGTTCACTGGTTCTGGGGTCTATTTTGTGGTTCTTTTTCACGTGCCTCCTTAGTGAAGTGGATCTTCAAGACTTGGCCGATGATCTCAAATGACCCTCGGGCAGAAGGAGAAACTCATGCCGTGTGGGAAATTGGGCCTAAAGGTTAAGGTTTGGGGCAGAAGAACCATCCCTAATTGGTAAATACATTTCAGTTTATCATATTGCTGGATATTGCTGGAGTCCTTCGATATTGAAGTGCCACTATGAGGTATGCCAGTATGCCTTAGCATGGTCCTTCCCCCCACCCCCCAACTCACTGCCACTCGCCATGGGCCTTGTGACTTGGTCGGTCACAGTGGTGTCGGTCGGTGTACAGGGCAGGAGGGCAGGATGTATTTGATGCTTGAATGCCCATTCTCACCTAAGGATGATCAATGAACCTTCCTTCTATTCAGATCTATGTCAGGCTTGAACCAATTATTGAAGTTCCTTCCGGACCGAGGAATTGGTCGTAGAAGTGATCCAATCGGTCATCTCTGCCATGCGCAAGATTGCCGACCAGGATGGGAGGTAGGTTGCCCGCCTCTCACCAGCGCTGGTATGGACCTGGCAAACACTTTTTCCAAGTTTGCATGGGCCCTTGAGCTCGTTGTGCCAGCTATATATGTCATTTACAAACTTGATCAGTCAGCACGTGCAGCCGAACTTTGTCAACCCGTGAATTCAACACAAGAAGATTCTCTTTGCTGGCGGTGGGATGTAGTAAATCTCTAGCGTTTCAACTTACTGCTCTATTTATTGCAACCACGTCCACTTTCAGGGACCACCACGTCCCTGGCTTGCTGGCTAGGATCCCAACAGCCACCTGCTGAACGACGGGGCCTTTACTTTGGGAAAAGCCGCGCAAATTGCGGCCTGTGAGAAACATGAGGCTGCGGTTTGGGGTGTTGGGATGGGGCATTGGGATGGTTTGGGGATGTTGGGGCATTTTATGCATTGCCTTGGAGATCATTGGATGTACCCTCGGTTCACTGAAGAGCATCAATGAATGGCACGTTCATTTGTTGTGCCCAGCAGGACTAGTAGAGTGATACAGCAACTTCGGAAGTTTCTGGGCTTTCCTTAGGAAAAGCCAAGAACGGAAAGGCCTCGAAGCAAAAGATCTCTTCCGAACGGTCCGACTCTCCGCCCAGGGAATTCCTCAACTCAAGGAGGTCCGGGAGCCATTGGATCACCAGCGGCGTTGGCGTTGGGCGTGAGGGTTTCTGCGACCGGCGACCTGGTCGCTCTTCATCCAAAGACTTTGGGTGTAGGTGGCTCCTTTTGAGGGTGCTTTGAGTACTTAGTCCTCGACGGGGAAGTGGAGGTTCTCCCCTACAAACTGTAGAGGACAAGGACTTTAGTGGTCCAGGGTGGCATTTTCCGCTTCTATGATTGTTGGAGAGGGTACTATATGTAGATATATGTAGTATATAGGCTATATAGATATATGTAGTATATAGGCTATATATATAGCCTTGGGGCAGTGTGCAGCTCTAGCTCAGAACCACAGAATCTACAATCTTGCAGCGAGGTCGAAATGAAGCCATTCCATCACATTCCATCAAACATTTGATGCAAGTGAAACCCGAACCGCTGAAGCTGCCCCTCGCCAAAGCTGTAGAAAACCCTCGCTTTGCTGAGAGCGTCCGTCGGGTCCGTCGGGTCTCTGCTGGGTCTCTCCGGTCGGGTCGGTCGAGCGACTGGACTGGCGCGACCGCAGGTTCGAAACGACAGAATGATGGCTCAAAAACACGTGACAACAACATCCCACAACCAGTTCCACAGGGGTAGTTGGAGAGTAGGGTGCCTGTGATTTTATGTTGTCAAAGTTCCATCCCTTTGGACATCCCGGAGTGCAGGTCTCAAATTGCGCTCTCGGCAACGAGGAAGGATAGTGATTGGCTTATGCGTCCTTTCCATGGACGCATTTGTGGACGCACCTGATAAAGAAGTCCACTGCGTCCTACGGACCTAGTACTTATATAATCTTATATTATAAAAGACTATAATATATAATATATTATATATATATGTGCAGACTCTTGCATGATCTGCGTCGAAGACACACAATGCACTTCCCAATGGCATCCAAAAACCTCCCGCGCCGCCGGCGCCGGTGCTGCCGTCAGGCGGCCCTCCATTCGTCCAACATCTTGCTCGAGCTCATGAGCATGAAGGACACACCCAACGAGCTAACCGCTAGCCGCTAACCGCTAGCCACCACCTGCCCAATTGCGCTTGTACGCATACTTAAGCCTTCCAAGGTCTTCTTTTCTCTTAGGGGGGTCTAAAACACAATCACATCACATGGCTCGTGTTCTCGTTTCTACCCACTTGTTCAGACAAAGACAGACTATGATTGTTGACGTACTTCTGTTGTGCTGTTGTTGTTGTTGTGGTGGTGGTGGTGGTGGTTATTGTTGTTGTTGTTGTTGTTGCCTTTCGTGGCACATTCACAATCACGCCTGCAACCTTGGGGTAGGTCCAAGATGCTGCTCTTTGCCGCACAGTGCTTGAGGCACGGGTCGGGTGTTTTGTGGGTAACCTCCAAATGGCCAACAGCAGAATCATGCTACTAGGAACAGTGGACGCTACTAGTAGCTCCTGGCATTGCTACTAGGAGCAAGGACGCTAGTAGGTTGGAGGCTTTGATGACCCAAATCGTGGCCCCAGCGTGCTTGGATAGTATATAATTACCCTGCTGCTGTCCACAGTTCAATGGGTGTTTCGAAACTTGTTTTTTTGGGGATGTGCAATTTGCACATTTTGGGTAATTAATTGTCACATATTCGGTTAAACGATGTTAAACGTTTGTTTGCATTCTTTGGTCACTCTATAGATCTATATAGACAAAACTCGGGCGTTTAACAAAAACAGATCCATCGTGACAGCTTGTCGTCCACCAGTCTCATCCAGGTCTATCTTAATTCATTCATGCAGACTTGCCAGCGAGTCATACCAAGCAAAGCTATTCAATGGATGTGCCCAGCAACTAAAGAAGCACACAACACAGCCATCACCACTCATAGCGAAGGGTAGTAAGGATCTTTGGCTGAGACACTTCGTACAACTGTTCCTGCCTGCGCACCTTCACCAGCCATGGCTGGTCCCTTCTCCAACATCATCAGCGGAGAATCCTTATGGGGCATGGCTTCCAGAAACACCAGAGACAGATCCTTCTTCGCTTCGTTCGTGATTTCACCGGCCATACCAATCACATGAACTCACCCGGTCCCCCCCCCCCCGCGGGGCGCGGCGCGGACCGCGGACCGCGCAGACCGCTAGGCGCTGGGTGAGCTTTTAGAAGCTTCGGGGTCCGGGGACCCGGGTGACGTGTGGTGGGGCCAGGCGTGTGATGCTGGCTACTGAAAGGATCTGACAAAATGGGCCATATCAGTGGTTTGAGGGGGTGATGGATGAGTTGATGGATTCGAGAACGAACTTGGGGCAGTTGGCTGAAAGACAGCCCAATCAAGCGAAACTCAGAGATGGCGCCATGAGTAACGTGAGGGAAAGGTTCTTGGACCCACAAATTTATGGGTATTTGACTGACCATCGACTAGAAACCTTCCAAGAGGAAAGCAGGAAAAATAGAAGCAGTCAGGCACAGTCTTTTCAAGCATATTCGATCTTAGTCGTTCAGGGATTTGCATGCTGTAGGCAAAGGCGGGCAAGGCGACTTTGTCCGTGCTTACGCGTTCTTATCCCCTGTAGGCACTGTAGGCGTTCTTGTCCTTGTTGGGAATTTTCAAGTAGATGACGAGCACTCACAATTATGGGCCTGAAGTACAGTGTTCCATGAGGGACCTGGGAGTAGCGTCAGGTGAAATCAGGTGAACATTCATTATGGTTCTGCCTTTTTTATGTTATGACTGTAAGGTGTATGGGCCACTGTGATGGTGCCTCGGCAATTTTGATCCTCGGGGCTGCAGCTTAGGCGTTTGTCATTTGTTGCGAACACGGGCGGATTTTTTTACTTAAATGAAGTTGAGCACAAGGTATCAGAGTGTAGGTGAAGTTTGTCTAACGAGGGTCTAGGTATAATGAAAAGTAAATTATCTCTTTTTGAGGACGGTGAAAGTCCTTTGGTTCTCCACTTTAAAAAACCTCAACAAACACGGCGGGATCTTGGGACGTGGGGAAGGTGAAAACTGTTTTCGGGCCCATCTGATCTCTGAATGTCAACTTATCAGCCTAGGCGTCCTTCGGCAGTACGCTCCAGGCTGCGGGGATGGGATGGGTTTGCCAGAGACAAACAGTTTGCCATAGGCATGCATCTATTTTTTTGTGCGTGTGCACATGTTTGGAGCGGCATTGAACGGACATCAACGCATGTTTATGATTGTTTATGTAATTTTTCATGTCAACGTTTCCAGCTGCAAACGGCACACTGATTCTGGTTGCAGGTGATGGAATTGGGTCATGTTATGTGTACATGTGCCACTTAAATGTGTTGTGTCTTAGACAAGCTCCATGGTCTTATGGCCCATGCAGGCCATATGCGTGATCAACTAGGTTTGGTTTTGCCGCGACGAGCAAAGCAACACGTGGAATAAGACCTGTCAAGTACAGAATACTTAGCATTTCTGGATGGGCTTTAGAGGCTTTGGGATCGGGAACCATTTTCTTGGAGAATGTTCATGCTTTCAGCGCAGACAGCGCAGACGATCAGCACTTGTGTTCACACCTGTCACATCCTGGCAGGATTTGTGAGGGCTTGTTTGCAGGAAGCTGCGGCAATGCAGGCGGTGTTCTGATGTGTTCTTGCTTTTGCAAGAGGTCCGCAGAAAGATATATTGATGAGTTTACAGATAAATTACAGTATATCATAGTTGGTATTGAGTTTCTCCAAGTTGGGATACTTTAGGTCATTCTGCTTGCTGCTTTAATTAGAAGCAGTCCCGAGATCGCATCATCAGCAAGCTGCCTTCGTTGCTGTTTTTATTGGAATCCAGGCTAGTACTCCACCCTGGACCCTTGGTACTACAGTTATGGTCCTGGTAGAAGTACTCCGATTCCGATGCGTCCTTGGCCCAATTGGATCATTGAGATAAAGCAGGAGTACATTCGGAGTACATTCTGATTGCTAAAATTGATGGATCACAAAACAGCAGGGGAAAGGACATCTCTCTCTCTCTCTCTCTCTGACGGATTCCGAATTGTGGACGCTTATAGCTTATATATATATACTCGGATAGTTTAGCCGTTTTTAGCACTGCAGGCTTTAAACTTAGCAGGTCTCATAAGACATCCAATAGAGAAGTGGATTTTGGATGATTTCGGGAGTTTCCACAAACACTCCCCCCTTCTTCCGTTTTTTCTTTTTTACAGGTCTTGGCTTGGTGTCCGTGGTGCTATGAACGATGTTCGTGATGTCTCTTGAGAGGTTCTGGCGTGATTGGTGCCGGCCTTCTATCGAAGGTGCCAGCTGAGAGGGAGTGACAGATCACGGGAGTGTGTCAGTGGCTGCGTCAAGCGAACAGCAGTTTGATCCCTGAGGACCCAACATGCGAAGCGTATTGACAAACAGCGGGTTCTGAAGCGTGTTCTAAGAAACGAAGGGAAAAGGGCGGTCATGAAAACGAGGGAGATCAGCATCATCAGTGTTTTGTCCGTCTATTTTGGGGTGACATCTTAGTTTAAGATGTTGAAGCATGCACTTGGATACAACTGAGGGCACACACCCAGCTGATTCATGCTCTACACTTGGAGAATCGCCGATCAATCCTGGGCAGGTCAGCGCGGAGCATGCATCCAACACGAAACTGCAGGCCCCTCGGTGCTCGCGAAGACCGCCGTGCGTGGGATCGACGGCGCGTCAGCGCCTGGTTTCTGTGAGTGCAGGTTCCGGGGACAGTGTCCCACCCCGGGAGGTGTGTCTCTACTGCCAGACCGACCGGGAGACCCTGTGGCGTTCCGATCCTCCACCGGGTTCGGTGCGGAACATGGACCAGAAAACACCCAGCCGAGCCAGGGCCAGGGGATCTCCCAGTCACACACCCACCAGGGTCATCCTGTCTGGGTGTCCAATAGACTACCCTACCCTACCTATCCCTACCTATCCCTACCTACAGGCAGCAACCCTTGGATGGTCCAGGAGGTTGTTGTTTGTTTCTTGCAACTTCAGCAAAGCAATGAGCTGGCAAGAGCTGGTAGCAAGAGCTGGCAAGCCTGTCTCAGGCGCTGCGGTTTGGTTTCTCGGAGAAGGAAGTTTTTTGGACATGCCTCGTTGTTACTCTGAAAACCAGCATCCCTAGTCTTTCCAGCAGGGAACCACCAACTTCACAAGGTAGCATCCGGAAAAATGGCCTGGAAGCAGGCACATGCTGCCTAATTAACGTCAATGGGGATTAACGTCGCATTCAAGCGAGCGAACACGAGCCGAAACACTGAGACGATTCGTGGGATGGACATGAATTGAAGATCGTCTGACGACCGGAAGCATGGAGTACTGTAACTGCAAGTTATATATGTGATATGTTATATCACATGTCTATGTTAACTGAAGTACGGTTCCCTCTATATAGATGAAACTTCACAACTGGGGTGACTGACTTGTCAAGGCGATTGTTTTCTTTGTTTTCTTCGCAGTCCCCAGTCCCCACATGCTCTTTTTGGTGAATGATCCAGATGTTCCCTTAGATGGCAAACATCACCAAGGAAGCGCTGCATGGCCTGAGAGTGTGTCCCTGATTTCGTGCCCTCCTCCCAGAATCGTCCAGAGACAAGCTAACAAGAGACAACAGGAAGACCTTGAGGTGAACCTCCGCGTGATACGAAAGCATTGAAAAGGCCAGTTGGAAAACCCCACCATCCCCCACCCAACCAAACCTGCACAACACAGCATGGATCGTCCCTCTTCGTCGTCCCTATGGCTCCGCACCTTTTTTGTTCCTTGAGAGAATGAGATAGACAGACCATGTCTTCCTTATAGGGTGTTTTGGTTGGATCCCTTGCCATGTGACCGGGCCGGAAGAGGACATGCCACTGGCCCTCCGCTTTGCTCCGGCGGACCAGCCGGACGGACCGACCGAGACCAGTCGTCGTCCGATTTGAGACGACGGTGCCAGGGGGTGATCATGTGGCTGGCGGGCCTGGCTCATGGAGTCACCGCCATCGTCGCTCGTGAAGACGAACATATTGAAGAAGACATGGAGAAAAGGACCAGATCACCAGGTGGTGTTGCTATTTTTCAATTTTCGGGGGAGACGAAGTAAGGACATCACTGGAAAGAACTGCAATTTAAGGGGTGTTTTGGAAGGGGTTTGCTAGTTATTTTTTTTTTTGTGTGTGTGTGTGTCGCTTAAAGATCAGTTGAACATCACTGGTGCGGAGAGAAAGAACCAGCATCACTGGTGCGGTTCTTCTTGGGAATCGGGAATCCATGCCCAACATTCGTGCAATGAAACGCCTCCGTTGTTGCAAGGGAAGACATCAACATTACTAACACAGTCAATCAAAGAAGACATTTCCGTAGTCCGGGGCAAGGCTGGAGTCTCCAGGTTCGATTGGAAGCTTATCGCAGAAGAGAGTGCATCTGAATAATGGGGCGGAATCACAGGGCACCAAACTTGGGGGCATCTGAAAACTGATCTGGGAACCCCTGCACACCAGTAACAAGAAGCTACCAGGTGGAGGCCATCGCTATTAGGTTGGAGGCCACTAGGAACAAAGAGCTACTAGGTGGAGGCCATTTGTTTCAGGTTGGAGGCCATTACTACTAGGAACAAGAAGCTATGAGGCTATGCTCTCATACATCCGGGGCCGGCGTTGCCGCCCGCTCGGGTCTTTGGAGGTCAGAGAGATGAGCATGAATCAGAGCTGCTATGGTGTTGGGACACCCCAGCTGCTGCAGTTGTTCCGGGGATTTCGCCGATTGCCTAGTCCAACAGATGATGGCCCCCCGCAGGCCCAACAGGATGGTAGGATACGGTAGGATTCGTTTAGAGCAGCGGCACGGGGTTCACATGGTTCTTGAGCAGTGCAGGTTTTGATCCATCAATCTGCATGCGCCAGCGGGTGAAACCTGGTGCAACTGGCTGTCACTGGACTGGCGTTTTTTTTCATTAAATTCAGAAATTCATTCGAGCTCCCGCCAGAAGAAGTCCCTAACGATACGCGAGTTGATGTCAGATATGCAGCTTGTTGTTGGGCTGAATATGATAGTTGATGCTGAGTCCATCTTCTCGGAATCAACATGTCCCATATTCTTAATTAAGAGGATATTATGATATTCTGATACATGTTTCATTATTCGAAGAAGGGTACAAGTGATAGGATTCGTTTGCTTTGAGTCAACACCTTGGCTATCATGGTGGAGGGATCCTGTTAATCGATCGAACCTCTCTTGGCGGGGAATCCAATTGGGAATCATTATTGTGTGAACATCTGTGAACCCCTGTGGAGCCCAGATTGTTGACTTCCATGAACTATTTCCGTGCGGTTCTGGAAGAACATCCGTGCGAGTTAGATCCATTGGGTATGACCCTACCCTAAGAATCCTTGGTCTCTCGATAGCAGGGGTCCGGGCTCTCAAAACCCTATCTGTTTGAGGGCCCGGATTCTTAGGGTACTGCCAAACACCGACTGGCCACTTCACACCCACCGGTCACCCGGGCTGTGGCCACCGGTCAGGTGCAACTGGCCGCGCTGCGGGCAATCGCCGCCATCTTCTATCAGCTCGAGGCGGCTCGGTCGAAGAGGATCCGATGGACACGGTGAAAGGCAGGTGCGAGCGGTTTTTGCATGGTTTTTCCACCTCAGTGATGCTGAAGCTACGTGCCAGGACGGCCTATGCCGTGATTCAGAGGGGGAGGGGTAACAGTCACGTGTGTGGAGACAGGAGTTGACTTTCAGCTCCCCCAACCCCCCAAGATAAACACAGAACACATCATGCTATGATGGCTTGGTTCGGAGTCGGAGAAGCCTTATTTTTAAAGTGTTGTCTCCCGAAAATACACTTGTGTCACTGTGTCACGGGTGTTTTTCTTCATCCCAGTTCTCCTAGGAGGGCTATTTGGGGTGAATCTTTTGGTGTTTCGTTTAGGTTTTCTTTTTGATTCACTTCTCCCGTGTATGTCCTGCGACCTGCCTCGTGTCCGTTCGACTCTCTCTCTCTCTGTCTGAGCTCCGCAGACGGACCACATGGACCCGAAGACCAATCCGTTGGCTTCGGGGGTCCATGTTGACCTGGTAATTGCGGCATTGTACTTGTTTGACACGCACTTGACTACTACGCCCAATCTTTCCCACTTCACGAAACCCCAATGAGTCAAGTGGCAGGGAATGGCAGGGAATAATTGGTTCCAGCCAACTAAACAGGGTGTGGGAATCATATCAAGTGTTGTCTTGTTCGACCATTTTTGAAGTCTGTCCTGTCTATTGATTAGGAACGTATCTAAGCATACTGTTCTACTGTTCTGCTATTGCTGCCCGTTAAGATCCTTTCTTTTATAACAAATTCTGAGGTTTGCTTGATTCATGGAACTCTGACCTGAAAACCTTTCTCAAAAACCCTTATTCTAACTCATCGAAATCATTGCTCCAAACCATTTTTCAAGGGGATATCCGGGGATAGTACACAAGCCCAGGCGAAGCGAATCCTAAGAATTGTTTCAAGGGTGGAATTAACGCGCCAACTTGGAGCCCTTGCAAATAAACTAAGCTTACTTTTCTGCCCCTTATTATCCTTGCTACTGGCCACTACTCCTTCTCCTACTCCTACTCCTACTCCTACTACTACTCCTACTACTACTACTACTACTCCTACTACTACTCCTACTACTACTCCTACTACTACTCACTACTAACTACTAACTACTAACTACTAACCACTAACCACTACCTACTACTACTACTACTACTACTACTACTACTACTACTACTACTACTACTACTACTAGTGATGGCGGTAGTGGTAGTTCTAGTCGTGGTGGTCGTCGTCGTCACGCTTGCAAGCGAAACACTACAACCGTCACCTTCACCAAAAAAGGAACCTGGTCCCCTAGTGCTCCCAATTCTACAGAGCTGGTATACGCACGTTGTGACGAGTTGGTCAACCTCCACGGGAGTCGTTTGCGAATTGGTCACAGCAGAGGCAGCCGAGCTTGGTCAAGCTCAGCCGAGCGTAATTCATTTGTGAGACAGCATGCTTGAGCCCTTGCTCCTAGACCCAAGGTCAATGGTCAATACTCAATGGTTTCATGGTCAATGGTAATTTCTTGAAATACTCAATACTCAATGGTCAATCTTTTCTCATCGATGTCCTTGCTGAATAGCGCTGATCTATGCAGATCTGAGTGCTCATGTCCAGTGCTGATGCGCTTTCGCAAGGTACGCCTCCACCCGAGGCTGAAAAACCTCCACGAGAGATGGTACAATCTTGGCCTTCAAACAAATCCATTGGCACATCATGGCACCCAGAAAACCAAAACCAAGGTGCGACTACAGCCACTTGGTGTTTGGTGTTTGCTCCACCATTAATTACTGTGGGACCGGGTGTCGCACTGGTGCACCGCGTGGCTTCTGGTTGCAACCAAACTGTTTTGGATTCGAAACGGCTCGGCTCAACTCCCTCCGTCCGTGTTGCCCCGGCATGGTCCCGCAGCGGATGGTCCGAGCAGGCCAATAGCGATTCAGTGGAGTTGGCGGCGCGGGCTGCGTGCATTCCAGCAGCTTCTTGGGCATGGAAGGGTGGGAAGTGATGGGGAGTGCGGTCGCCTCACGGGACAGATGGCGAATTGACCCCGCCATAGAACCTCTGACGGAATCGGATTATATAGGTCTGGAAATGTGATTCGATGGACATTCAACTATAGTTGATTGTTTTAAGCCGAAGTCTCAGCCTCGTTCAATTGAAGGGGTTTAGCTTCAAGTTCAACTTTCGGTTCCGACCTCTAAACAAGTCCTTTCGATATATATATATATTATATAGCTTGGAATTCCAGCTCGTTCCAGCTCCTTCGAGGAGGAAGCATTTTGGACTACTGGATTGGAACTTGAATCTGTTGAAAACCACCGTAGGGCACCCAATTTGTCTCTGACTGCCTGCACCATCTCTGACTGCTCATCAAGTCTGCTCAACTGCTCAACTTTTGGCGGAGGAAAGCCGCTCAGAGCCTTTGACCATAGGTGAGGTCGGCCACACGCCTTTGTGGCATGGCAAGTCATTGGGACTGGACTGATAAGTTTTTGAAGAGAAGGACCTTCGCAGGGCTGGTCAGAGGTAACTGCGATCGAAGTTGAGCCAAGCGCCCAAAGGGCCAAAGGATCAGGAGTTGATACTCGTCACGCTGATAGCCTGGGTCGCAGGGCCTAGGAGTACATCCGATTTCAAGCATGTTCAACCATTTCACTGTTCAAAGCCAAGCCTTTGTTGGGCTCATGTTCAGCCTTGTGCTGCAGGGCCAGATTTGAAGACACCCCTTGATGTACTGCCAGACCAGACAGAGCATAGATGTGTGGTTGCCCATGGACGATGTGTGGAATTCCGAGACTCTGAAGACCCTTGGGGTTGAGTTCTTTGGGCCGGTCGAGTCGGTCTGGATCCTTTAGACCGACCCCAGAGAGCTGGGTGGGGACGAAGGAAGCTGTGCCTACCTGTGCATACCTGGGACTGGGCGGGTTGCAAGTGGGAAACATTCAAAACCATCGTGCCTGTAGTGAGAGCATGTCATGTCCAATGTTTATTTGTAGTTTCGCATTGAAAACAAGAGGGACGCGCAACAAATTCCACTGAATGATACCTTCTAGTGGTTGGTGCCATTCGACAATATGATAAGGGGCATCTCGGTAGTCATCGCGGTGTCAACATGTGTCAACTTATCTTTGTTAAGTGGTGACAAACTGCAGGGAATCCAGCGCCAAGTACCAGCAAGATCTGTGGGCTTGGCTGAACAAAATAGAAAACTTGTTGCTCACTTACGTATATTATATCCTTTTCAATGCTTCATTCCAGCCCAGCTCAACAGGTTACGACTTTTTTAAGACCAGACAGACTTGTTATTATATATATTAAATATTACAGTACTATGTTTTCAATTATATTCAGATTGAATATGTGGAAGCTTCCCCATACAAGTCTCCTTGCACTCATGTTCTTGAATCATAATATAGGGTCGACCGTGTGCAGGCCAACCGCCTTCCTGCGGGTGGGAGGGTCCGTGGCTCCGCCATGTTCATTGCAGGTAGTGGATGGAGTATGAACATGGCGGAGAATGTGAACAGTTTGTGAAATCGCACGTTTCCCATGTTAGTCTGTTCCTCGCCTGTATACGTAGTGGGTGAGCAGGTTCGAGACTGGGTCCTGGGACAGTTAACTCCAAATCATATGAGCTATGTCCCTAGGGATCCACATACGCTCTGAGAAGGTGGTTGGAGACACTGATATGTAGGTTTGGAGGGTTTCATTAGTGAGACAGGCCATCGCAAGTAGGTTGGAGGCCCAAAGCAAAGTTGGTCTGCGGGGGGGGGGTTCTTAAAGGAACATGTTCTACGGGAAGGGCTTCGCAAAGCAACATGTGTCTACAGGAAGGCAACTTAATTGGCCTAGAAGAAAGCAACATCGTCTACATCAAGAGTCACTTAAATTTGTCCATGGAAGGGTTAGTTGAGGCAAAAATTCAATTGGGGGACGGGGGAGCAATGTAACCTAGACTCTAGACAAACAACAAGACAAGAAACTGAGACACAAAAAACATCCACAAGACACGCCGGCAGGCCAAACCGCTAAGACGCAATAAATGACAAGTTCCTCCGAAATCCCACGGTTGCCTCGGTCCCCCAACATATCCCAACATATATACATGTGAGTTTCTAGAGGAATGTGTGGTCAACGATTTCGCAGCCTGCTTGGACATCTCTAGGCGGGGCTGAGTGGAGCACTTGTTGGCGTAGTAGCGGGGCTGGTTGCGACTGAGGGCATGGCCACCACCTACTCAAGATGTAGTCAGCTCGGTCCTATCAAAGCTTTCTTTTTCGCGGCGGAGCTTTCCAATTCTTGCCCACAGCGGGCAAAGTCTTTAACTTGCACATGCCTTTGTCACAGGTGCAGCCAGACACCCAACACGAGCAGCGCAAACTAGCTGGTTGAGCCCTCCACGTCTGGGTGTACCCAGCACTAGCAACACCTGCCATCGCCTTCCATCAATCTTGCGGAAGTTATGCCCAGGGCTGCAATGCCGGAGCGCCGCAGAACATGAGTGTGGCCAGGGTTCTGCACGCTAAGTGCTGCTTGTGCTAGTGCTTGTGCCTGCTGTGCCCGAATCATGAATACCAAGTTGGGGTGCTCCGAGGTGCTTGCAGCTATGGCTTCGTTCCCGGAGAATCTGGCCACTGGGGCTGCGACCATGAGGGTGCTGCTTTGTTGAAAGGGATGAACCTGAAGAGACAGAGAAGGGAGATCATAGTGGGTCAGCAGTTTTATAATGTTGTTGGTCACCTGCGCACAATGTTTTTGAATTTTGCACTTCGTTATGATAGTGTGAACATGACACGTCGCTGTGGCGCGCAGGGCTTTGGATGCCTATTTTTTCCAGGCCAGTTGAAAAAATTGAGGAATAATGGCGTTTTATTTATAGCACATTCTTGCAAATAATGTAATTGTAACGTTCCGTTTGTTTGTTTGGATTGCTTTGTGGCGGTAAATTGTTTACTTGATTGATTGGTCCACGGTGAACAGCAACATTACAAACTTGTCATTTTGGTTGCTGTGTTTTGTTTTCTCGTTTGGGTGCCTGCCTGTATTTTTGTCGTGGAGTTTGGACCCAAATTTGGTATTGAATGTAATGATTTCCAGGTTGCAGTGGTGCGAAAGATTTGTCAGAAAAATGAAAAGGTCCAGGTAGACGTTCCATCGCATGGTCCTTTTGTCTTATTAAACACTTGGCCACAGACTTTGATTTCTTGGGGCTTCATGTGTAGTGAATGTTGAATTCAGAACAAATGCATTGTTTGGAGTTTGGGGACATTTTTTTCCCGCTTCCCGCAAAGCCGATGCCATGTATCCCCGAACGCAAGGTGCCTGGAACATCGGAAGACATCATGTGCCATTTTCCACTGTTTGTTCCAAACAATATGTTGACATAGAAAACCATATCCTGGCAGACTGTTTGGAGAGGGTGAAATGATGATGAAAGACACAGATCCAATTGTTGTTACATAGTCTATTTTTCCAACATGCACTCCATTCTCAGGGTGCCGGTCCCGTTTTGTGTTGTGATCTCATTGCCCGGATGTTCATTGGTGCCTTAGGTGATGTGGAAGACGGCCTGCTATACCCTGAATGCGGTTGTCCAGTCAGAATCCCAGACCAAACATGTTTTGGAGAAGCTCCTGAACAGCGATGTTTGGACATGTGGCATCTGCTACCGTAGTGTTCCTACATTCCAAACTCGATTTGGTCCATTGACCGGTCCAGCTGGTGTGGATCAAGACGAATGAAACGCCCCAGGCCCCAAACAATGGTAGGCGGCTCACATCCTTCTGTAGCTCAACCAACCGGCATTGAAGCAAACATTAGTTGTTCATCTTTCACCATTGCACATTCCAGGGCTTGGACTCCGGACCCACTGTTTGTATATGGTTCAATATCTCCGGACAAGATAAACTGTGTTTATAGGTTGTTATAGCTTGAACGAATCTGGACCCACTGTTTATATACTGTTTCGTTCAAGTTATCAGGACAAAAACCTCCTGAATCGAGCCTCGCTTAAAAGCCCTGTGCTACCGGTCCGACTCCCACTCCCGCCGACTTCCACCGGTGCTCGGGATCTCGGGATGACAGGATCCAGCCCCTAGCAATCTTTGCAGAATCAGTTGGGGTGAGATGTCTTCAAGGTCAATTGGGGTGAATCAGTTGGGGTGAGATGTTGCAGAATCAGTTGGGGTCAGTTGGATAGGTATATTTATTCCATACAATTCCATACATGGATCCTTTGGGGCGGTCATGGCACGCCCCAGCTGGCCGGAACCGGCCGGAACCTCGGTCGCACTTCGGTTGGCCGGTCGGAGCAACCAGCGGTGCCGATGCATGGCCACTCCTACGTGACTGGAAACAGGACGATTAATAGACAGCTTTCTTGCAAACAATCTCAAGTTCAAGACTATTTTCACTTGGAAGACTACGTCTTCCTCTACCAACAGTGGGTGCCATCCACTTCCATGTGATGTCTTCGTCAGAGTGTACATGATATAATCCTACACTCCCTGGTTTCGAGTCATGGGCCAACGTGGATGGCCCCCCAAAAGGATGGCACACTCCGCACGGTGCGGCACCGGCACGGTGCCATCCAGGGTTCCTCATGACGTTCACAGTCTGTCAGCGCTCCACGAAGCTGGTCTGTCATTGGAAAAATCCTCGACGGTCGTCACCGTGCCATCACCCACAGCCCTCGTGCCCTTCGAGGCACGGCTTGGACCACATCGTGCAGAAGGTGCTTTTCTCCCATGCGACGTGTTCCATAGTCTCCGTTCCATAAGTACCCGGGTACAGACGGTAAAGCTATAGAACAGAGTCTCCCTGCTCACCTTCTCAAAGGGTATGTGAAAGGCCGTGGATTGGCTGATTGGTAGAAGGGAGAGTCCCAGTGAACAAGCGATAGGTTGATGGTACCAAATCGCATTTCTTTCCAAATTTGAGGACATCACTACGGCTGATGACTCTGTTAAGAAAGACGCTTTTTTAGAGTAGACTCTAGATTATTTCTTAACTATAACCTTTTAATTAAGAAATGTGGCTAGCAGGTAGACTCTAAATAAGGTTTCTTATTCTATTTTCTCTCCCTCGAGCTCTAAATCGCTCAACCGCATCGCTATGCGCATGGTCTTCGACTTCTTCGACCCGTATCCCCGGATGTTGTATAATGTTCTATCATGGTATAATGCTCAAGAATCTGAGATGAGGGGAGGGAGGGAGGGAGGCTCAAAGTTGAAGGCTGCGATGGGACTTCAAAAGAGCTTTAGACCAGTTTCAGACCACCCGAGAGGACAGGTTGGGGACAGCTTTTTGTGAAGCAGATTTAAACAAAGTGAAGCTTTTGCTCTACGTACGTATCATGCAAAGGGGTCATAGATGATGTCAAGTTTGTCATTTTACACCTGCACCCTGGAGATCCAAGGGTCATTGTCTAAAAGCGGATGTTTGATCGCAAGATTAAATAATGCGGCCCTTGTGCCGCATCATTCCATGTGGGGTCTGTAAGTGAGATACGTACGGGGGTCTACAGGATAATGAAGGCTCGCTTTTAATTCGGTACCATTATGGTCGTAATTCGGTGCATCCAATAGTACCTAAGTGTGGCCGTAGTGGTACCGAATTAAAAGCTCCTCTTCATGCATCCACTCCATGTTCTCCAATAACTTCCGATGACCATCAGTGACCATATCACTTTTGCAGCTCCACATGCGTTTTGTGCTGACGGTTCGGAACTTCAGGTTTTTGAACCAAAAATGTAAGTTCTGAACCTTTTTGGAAGCAAAGTGGCACCACGGATGTTGTATAATGTT